TTATGAAATAAAGGGCAATTATGATCTAAAGGGTATCGAAATTTACAGAAAAAAAAAGCTTAATATTTATTTGTTTACTTTAGTAAACATTTCTATTAATGTGAGTTGTTTAAGTTGCTTCATTTTTTGTGCTAATACTTTCTCTTTAATTCTATAAACGGACATAATTTGTTGTTCAGTTACAAAGTTCCACTGTTCAAGTCCTGAAATTGCTGTGTCAAGAATACCGACGAAATTGTCAATCGAAATTTTTCGTTTTCAATAACGTTCTCTGTTACTTTCTTCACTATTCGAAATCTATTCGAAAGTGCACATGGGTAAACGTTTTACGGGCTTTACACGCATGCGTAGCGGGAGTGCGCATCAAATGCGCATGCATAAATGCATTATATGCATGCGTAAGTTTGTGGCTTTGAGGTTCGGATTATAGACCATTCCGTATAATGGACGTCCGGATTAGAAACTTTGTACTGTATATTGTAATTATATTTAAGAAATAAGATTAAAATAAAGCATTTTTATTTTTTGCTGTTGTATTATGAAGTTCCATTTTGGTCACTTATAAAATATTTTGAATCTGAAAAATAAGCAAGGCATAAAGCACAATTTACGAAACAGTTCTTAGCAAAAGCAAAATAGCTATGTAATTAATTAAAAATGTTATTTTAATTTTTTCATGGTAAGAATTTTCCCATGTAATTGTCTCAGAATATTCAGAATTCTCAGAATATGCATCACTTTTCTGTATAAAATTAATTTTACACCTTTATCTTTAGTTTTTTTTTTTTTTTTTTTTTTTTTTTTTTTTTTCAAAATATTTCTTATTTCTGGCTTTTGCTGTTACCAAATTGGTAGTGGTAATTTTTTCTGTTAGCACTATGGACATTGCAGCTTGGAAAGTTTAGAAAGATTTAAAGGCAAGATTTATAGACTCACGATTCTGGAAGATTCCAGAAAAATGTGACAAAATGAAAAATGTCTCTATGGTATTAATACGTAATTTCTTACTTTTTGCAGAACGTCTGGAAGAACAATGAAAACATAATAGTTGAATGTTTTACTTCTAGAATCTTTTTTTTAACATTTTTATCTTTATTTTCTCTACTTGACTTCTCCCTACTTGAGACAAGCATGGAAAATATCAAAAATGCTTCTAATCTTATCATATGGACAGGCAATTATAGAAAAGAATTTTTTTATTAATAAAGAAATTGAAAACTGAGAATTTAAATGATTTATCTGATACGAGCCATAATAAAATGAAATTAAATTGTATAGTCTTTGATACATATTTTTAGTTTGAATTTGATTCTTTTTGTTTAATTACATCACCACAAGCTGTAAGAACAAGCTTTTATGTTCTAAATTCTTTTTAAAAAAGAGTTTAAATAAATTCTTATTTAAACCTTTGTCTGACTTCGTAGTTACTTTCAGACATAGCAATAATTTGCTTTATGGGGGATTTTGAAATATTTAACTTTTACCAGATTTACCAAATATTGTTAAAAAATAAATAAAATTTAATAGTGCCCATGTAAATCCATAATGATTAACGTTATCTAATACCTAATTTAATTACTTATAACTAACTGCTTACCTTTAAAAATTATCTATGCATATTAAAGCAAATTATTGCTTTTTATTAACCCTTAACATGGTCACAAGATAAACAACAAAAATGTAAAAAATCAAGTAAAACTTATTCTTAACATTAAAAAAATCTAGTGACACTTAAAATAATACAAAACAGCATATCACCTCTGTTGCTTTAGTGGTTGATTGGAATCTTAAAGTATATTAACTGGGTTACAACCTCTGGAACTCTACACGAAGCTATGACACTAACTGCATCAGACAGAGCCAAACTCACTTTCAAAACTTGCCAACCATGTCTACATCAGGCCTTTCAGGTTTGTTCTGATCAGCAGGTCTTTCTCTAGGCAAGCAGGAGCAGTGACAACAGCCAGTCTTTTGTTTTGAATCAATCTGATTATGATTTTACTTTTCATTTTAACCTATGCCGATTGACATAAAATTTACTTAACTATTTACCAAACCTCTAGACTGATCAAGTATGTAACAAAATAAGACATTAAAAAAAATCAACATTATTTCATTCTCAAACTTATTAATAATTATGTTAATTAAGTTATGATTAATAATAATGCATCCTACTTACGGATCTATTTTATTTTTAGGATGGTATTACAAAGTGAAGTTCAGGCATAGATAATATTTTAGTTCCCATTTGCTCAGGTCCTTAATTTTTTCGATTAGTGGTCCTTAAAAGTACTTAATTTCCATGTGCAGAAATGTGTGCGAACCCTGTAAATAACTAAACTAATACAATTGAGGCTTAATTGTCTTGATGCACAATAGAAGCAAGATAAAATTTAACGGACCAACTTGTCATTAGTCTGCAAGCTCATGATGCATAGCCAACTATGTATAGTGAAGGATAGCTAAATTTGATGATGATAGCCACTAATTTTAAAGGTTTTCGGATATACCAAAGGTAAAAATTTTCCAATTAACGGATTTTGTAAAGAAATTTGGAGAAGCGATAATAAATGAAGATGATATAAAAGAAGTTTTCCATTGTGATGACAATGCTTCTTAATCATCAGTCAATTAATAAATGTCAAAATGTGTAGTATGGTTCTAGATCCAGAAAATACAGCTACCGATAGTGAAGAAAGTGAACGAGCTGAAAACAAGAAAATTTCAATTGACAAGTTAGTCGGAATTCTCAAAACAGCAGTTACAAGTCTTCAACAATGTAACTAAACAAGAGATTATGTCTGTCTACAGAATTAAAGAGAAAGTATTAGCACAAAAAAAGCAACTTAAACAACTTACATTGAAAGAAATGTTTAATAAGGTAAACAAATAAATATTAAGCTTTTTTTGTAAATTTTGATACCCTTTAGATCATAAATACTTCTTTATTTCATAAATCATGATTTCATATTTTTAATTTTATAATTTCTACATGCCATTTTGCTATATTTAAACTGATGATCTAATATCCGGAAAAATCCCAAATCTGGAATCACCGAAGTCCCGATGAGTCCCGATTTTGGACTTTGTACGGTATATTTTATGTCATACAAGTCTTACAATATCCCATATAACCATAACAAATGATATAACAGCATATGAAATCCTTGTTTGGTTTGTGTTGCCATCCTTGTTTATCTTTGTTTGATTGTGTTTCTATCCATGATATGCTTCTAAAATGCAGCAAAAATTAACTGTTTTTTTAGAAGAATGTCTATTAATGAAAAATAGATTATTTGCAATAATGTAGTGAGGAAAATGTCAGGCTTGCTGTATTGATGATATGCATTTAGCTATCCCTAAATGGGACTACATTCAAAGATGATTTTACTTAGTGTTTAGTAAGACCATAAATAAGTGTACTGTGTTTTGACCTTTTAAAACCTAATAAAACCCTAAATACTAACTGTTATTGCTCACAGCTAGATATTTTGTGGGGAAAATAATCGAGAAATAAAAGGGTTTTCTGCGAAATTGTACTGCTTTGCTTTCCAGCAATATAGTGTGAAGCTAAATGTCTTCTTGTAGTTGGCAATAAAGCTTAGTTGGAACAACCTCACCTGTTTCTTTGGCTGTTCTATTAGCTGTATCTCTGACCATCACCTATGTAAATCTCTTTGAAATTTCTTTAGTGCTATTTAGCTTTTCTTCATGAACCAATTTAAAAGTCACCTAGAGTAGTTTTTGTTGAAGCTGGAATCTGTGACATTCTGGAAGAACAGAATTTCACAGATTCCAGCTTGCATTTCAGATGGCAAAATATTATGCAGCAGAGTGCATTTATCAGTATATATGCAGTCAATACTTGATATTATTCTACATGCTGTTTATCAGCTTGAACTGTCCAAACTGTTAATTTTATTTTTTGCCATTTCTGCATTATATCTCTTTTTATTGTGTGTGCAGCAAATTGAATTGTCAAAAGTGTATATTATTGCATATTTTTTATGAACTGTAATATTATTGCTTCAAGTTGACTAGAAGTCTACTATTATTATTTCTTCAAGTTAAACATTTTTTAAGAAAGTTGAGAATTTGAAAGCTAACTTTTAATATATAGGATTATTGTGACTAATCTCACATGTCTGACCTAATCAGAATAAGTCCATGAATTTTATCGTGGCAAAGAGTACAAGATTGTGTCTGTCGATGTCAAGAACCCTGAGCACCATATGGATGATAGCATGATTTTGCCCAGTTCCACCCCAATTTTGAGAAAATGCATCCCGGGTAGCAGTCCAAGGCTCTCCCACCTCTCTTTTCATACCTTCAAGCTCTTGAGATAACTGCTCACCATATATTTAGAGTGTCACCTACCACAAATACACTATACATTTACAACATCTGTGCCTTCTGTGGGATTTGAACTTGGGTCGTTTGATGCAGTAATCAGAGTCGCTAACCTTTGTCACTGTGTATATATATCTATAAGGTTTGTTTTAGACTACTGAAAATTCTAATAATTTATTTTAAAACAAAATATGAAAATTGCAAAAAGGAAATTAACTAATTTTTTCCAGCTTAAGTTCATTAGAATTAATGGTGGAATGAATTGCTAGAGGTAATTTCCTGCTAATCGTCATATGCCATCATTGATAAAATAAATTGCTTTTTAATGTTTAATACCATAATAAATTTAAGATTTTAGTATGTAGTTTGACAATTAATATAATGTGCTCATTCTTTTGAAATTAACGGGGAATTAAAATAATGCAAATTAGCTGTATATAGCTAATTTGCATTATTTTAATTTGCATTATTCTAAATATATGGTGAGCAGTTAGCTAAGTAATCTGAAAGATATTTATATGGAAAATCAGTAATATTTTTTACTTTTTATCTTCAACAGAATTCATGCACACTTATGGTTTTGAAAGTACGTATGTTTATTTAAAAGTTTTGTTTTAAAATGCAGTTCTACATTATATGTTATTTTACAGAATTTTGCTTCTTAAGTCAAGATCCTGGTCCTTGTCCTAATACTGAGGTTAACTGGTATTATGACTCTAATGATGGAGTTTGTAGAGAGTTCTATTATGGAGGCTGCAAAGGCAACAGAAATAGATTTAAGACACGTAAAGAATGTGAAATATCTTGCTTTCATGCTCAAGGTAAACTTTCTTGGCTAAAAAACTTACATTTAGTTCACTATAAATAAAGTAATAAATTACATTTTATTTCATATAAATATAATTTGTGTAAATAAGTGGGATATATTTATATTTGTATTAGGATTAAATGATGATATATATGTTATATTTTATCTCATGAAAGTATTCTAAAACTGGTTAACTGATTACTCTTAAAAAAATTTGTTGCCATTTTTAAAAGAAATTATTTGGTATATTAAAGAAGGGGAAAATATATGTTTCTTCAATAATTTTAGTCTTCAAAACATAGACCTTGCTACTTTACTTTTACTACTTGTATGAAATATTTTGTAACATCAAAATAAAACATGCTGAGTGGTCATTGCCTTCTGAACATGATATAATATCATTTTAAAGAAGAAAATCCATTTTAATTTATTACTTTATAATACAGTCATTATATATTTATTATACAGTCAAATTATAATATTTGTCTTGTACCTAAAAAAAAAGGGGGGGAAGAAATCTACGTAAAGCATTTTTGAGTTGAGGCAGACAAATTTCTTTTCAAATTATTGAGTAATATAATCTCTTTATATTCTAGTACTTCTTACTGTGTTTATTACAATAGTTTTAATTTGGTTACTTCAGGGATATATGAATTATGAAAAGAAGAGTAAATTTAAACATTTAAGTATTTATTAGTTTATTTATTGGAAAGTTCTGTAGTTTTTTTGAATTGAAATATAGTCTTGTAATTACTTTGTTACTGCCGATAAGGAGGGACCTTGATTGAAACTAATGTGTATTATTTGCTCGCATTGCATAGTTCTATCATGCATTGTGGTATATTTTTTTCCATTGCAGTGCTAATAAAGGAGAAGCCAAAAATTCATTTTCATCCTACTAATCTGTTTTACTTTTGAAAAAAAGGGAAAAATGACAGACTACTCATAAAATTTGTGCTCTATATGGAAAAAGTATTATTTCTGATGGTAGAGTTTTAAGGTTATTTGAGAAGTGTGGAAAGCCTTGAAAATAGGGCCCACTCTGGACAACCATCCTCTAAACGAGGATCTATTAAAAGAAGCTGTCTCTGAAAACCCATGTTATACAGTTCAGGGACTATCAGGCAGTCTACTTATTCCAAAAAGTAGAGTAATATGATCATTTGAAGAATAGATATGTAAGCAGCTACAGTGTATGGATACTCTATACTTTAACACAGCAGAATATGCATGCTTTTTTTAACGGCTCATTATTGGAGATCAGGAGTGGATACTATACAGTAATGTTACTAGAAAAAGATGATGGGTTGAGTCAAATGAGAACTTCCTTTAGTAACATAAAGAAGGGAGGTTCATCCCAAAAAAGTAATGCTTTGTGCATGGTGGGACTACAGAGTATGAAATTTTTTGATTAAAAAGATATTCAAGGCAAGGAAAAAATCACTGACTGCTTCGTTTTATTGCAAAAATCTTGGATCTACAGTGGAAATATTTGGAGATATAAAATTTAAAAGGTTTAAGATAACATCCACAATATCAATAAGGTAAAATTTTTTACCATTTATTTGCATAAAGGCAATTTTATTGTTCAGTAGGGCATCAGAAGAGAAAAATTTGTTTATTTCACCTTGTAGCAATATAAGGATCCCATATCTCTAGAATTATATTTATTTTCAAATTTCATATAATCAAATTTTATTGTACCATGATCTCACTGTTCATAAAATAATTTTCACTAAACAGCACATGCTCTAATTATTTTGCAATGATTTTAATTTCTAATAATAATAAACACTGAAAATATCATTGAGTCATGTAACTCATTAATCTAAATATTGTTACAACATTAATTAGCATTATAAACTGCTTATAATGACTTATTAAAGTATTGCTAAATAATTACACTAATTATAATCATAATGTAGAATAAGATATTAAACAAAAAGTACAAACAAATAACAAAAACACAAAGTATGTAGAATAAGATATACAAAAAAAGTAATAACTCTGGTCTTGCTTTGCATAGTAAATCTATTTTTAGCATTCTGAATTATTGTGAGTTTAGCTACCTATTGTAACTGGTGACTGCTAGTTTTGCTTGCTTTTCCATAATTTCTGACATCATTTTGACAAACAAGAGTAAAAATCACAACAGCAGAATCTTAGTCCAAGTCCTATAATACATCTACAACTTTCATCCATCCCTCAGTATCATCTGATTTCTCTAAAAAACTCTTTATACCCCCAAATTAAATTTAAAATATTTAAATTTTATTAAATGATAAAACTCTTTACACCCCCAAATTAGTCTAGCCAATTGCAACTGTTCAGTATAGATGGCAATTGTGAAATCACAAACCAAGTCAGTGTCATCCATAGCCAATACAGTCCCCTTATTTCTACCCTGCCTGCTGCAACATCCTCAAGACTAGAAGTGTACAATGAATGGTGAACTCACTTGACAAAACTCAAAGTAAAAGACGCCAAATATATCACAGATTTCATTGAATCTTCTCAGAAGCTTCTTGTGGAACAAGAACTGCTTCAAGATAGCAGGTCACAATTGAAAACATCACGGACAAAAATGTCTCAGAGAAAATAATGCAAGGCAAACATCAGCATACAAAACATTATGGGAGAAAAGAAAGCAAGGGAAAAATGTCACAGTTCTGAAACATCATTGATGAAAATAAAGCGATACAAAAACATCACAGTTTTAAAACATTATCGTAAAAGATATCATGGTAAAAAGTAAAGCACCTACAAATGATCGCATGACGATAACACTGCAGGCATGTGTTTTTCAGACTTTAAAAGTTGCAAATGCATATCCACATAATGATTTGTAACTGCAAGTAAGGATGAGGAATATTTTTACCTCTGTATTTTGTATTTTTAAATTAATTTATAACTTTTTAATAAAAAAGCAAGAAGGAAACTTTAGCATTTGAAAGCTAAAAATGAGTAAAAAATTAATGCTAAGTACAAATATGTAATTATGTTATGTAGTTAACGGAATTTTAAATTTATGTACTTAACTATTAAAAGACTTTTTTAATTAATCTCTTTTATAAAGTTGTATTGGTAGTTTTTTGTGAAAAATATAGCCTAAAAAAATTTTAAAAGGGAAGATGAGTAATTGCATGAGATTACCTGTTTAAAAATTGTTTTATTTTCTTTTACCTATGTTAATCTGATATTTTTTTAGTAAAAATTAGGTCTTGTTTTGTTTCAGTTTATTCATCATCTTAAAAGTGTTATTAATGTTTTTATGTACAGAGTCTTTTGGGTGTTGATTTGTTAGTTATGACGAAACATGTCAGGAGGAAGCTATATAATATTTCAGTAGGGGATTTGGATTTATTGGATTATTGCAAAGCATATTAGGGCTACCTGGTAAGGAAAGGGAAGCACTTGAAACTTATGAGAAGCACCTTTCAAGAACTGCCTCGTATCCACATTATATTTTATAGAATTATTGGGGCAATTTTTTAGACTCTATAGGCAGTGTTTTTCAGTATAATGGGTTAGTTCTGCAACATTTATAGCTCTCCCGATGGATCTTAGTGCGAGATAGTATTCTCTGTAAAATCTTTCTGAAAAGGTTTTGCTTTCAAGGCAAATACTCTACTTATGTGTTTATAATTAATTAATCTAAACTGGTATGAAAAATATTGTTATGATACATGTAGTAGGGGAGTTGAAGATGCTAAATAACAATCCCAACTTTGTTTTCCACACCACAGAACATTTAATAAAGATAATCAGAAAAGGTACAAATTAGATTAAATACAAGTGCCGTTTGATACAAAGAGGATTCTGTATAGCTTTTACCAGTCTTATCACATAACCGATTAGTGCCTACTCGCATTTGCTGATGTATTAAACAGTCCAATTTACCACTTCGCGTGGAAAACTACAGTTCCTTATTCTAACACCTTCAGTGCAGACAGACATCTCACCAACCTTCACGTGGGATAGCAGAAGAGTCTCTGTCATACTCCTCTTTCACCTCGCTGCTGGCGCATCGGTGAGGCCCTCTGGTGGTTGTGTCGCACTTCCAGATACTACAGTTTGGCCTTCCTGACGCTTTTTCATCCTCGAAAACACGGATCAGCAACACTGGAACATCAAGACAGCACCTGAAAATAAATGTTAAAAAAACAAAATAAAAAAGGGAAAAAAAAACAAAAAGAAAGAAGTGTGGAAGAACCACACATAGTTTTATATAGTAGAAGTCCACGGCTTCATGAAATCAGCTGCTGTAGTGGTACATCCAGGACCTTCATGGTGTCCCACTTTTTCCACTGGTAACGATCTTTGCCTTTCCTCGCTGTTACATACACGATATGGACCGAAGAACTTTGGCCTTACTTTAGACCACCTCCATACTGCGTTCTTTGTATGGCAACTAAGTCGTTCAGATTGTTACTTGTGCCTCTTTCCTCTTTTGTTGTATGTTTTTCTATTCTCTTCCTGAATTTTTTAGAATGTTTTTTTTCTTGCTTCCTCTCTCGTATCTCTCTATCTTCTCATCTTTCATCAAATATTTCTTTCTTTCTTCTTCTTCAAGAATTTCCTAATCTTTAAGTCTTCTCGATTTCTCATTTTAACACCAGTGAGAAGCTCAAATGGAGAACTCTTTGTGCTTCTGCTCTTAGTACTGTTTAAGATCCGTTGTACATCTCCAACAATATTGTACCACTTGGTTGGATCATCTATGGATAATTTAGATAGGACTGGAATCAAAGTGAGATGAATCCTTTCAACTTGTCCATTTCCTCTAGGAACGCCTGCTTGTAGTTGTAAATATGTGCTGGATCTTCTCTTTGACTACAGTAATCTTCAAAGTCTTTAGAGGTAAACGCCGTACCTTTGTCACTTATAATTCTCAAAGGACTACCGAAAGTTGATTGTTGCAGTTTCAGCTCTGCAATGCCTCTTGAGCTGATATAGACTTTACTGGATAGAGATCCATACAAACGAACTTTGTGAATGCATCAACAACGGTATAAGAATGTGATTCATAGTTCTTATTTGTCGAAGGTAATGGTCCTATAAAATCGATATGAAAAGTGCTCAAAGAGATACTTATCTTTTGGTATGGGATTGAGCAAACCTTCGCTCCTTACCTCGCTTTTCTGTCGCATACAAAATACATTCTACACAATTTAGAAATAACTTGCGTACAATTCGTCTTTCTAAGGTTAGGAATATAAAAGTCGTTATTTTCAGCAGATCTTCTGCTTTTAGACACTGCGAAGTGTCCCTTGTTGTGGATACTACGTATGATTTCTAGCTCCAATGCTTCGGGTATCCACAAGTAACTCCCGAACACTGTCGAACTTGTATAATACACCATTTTTCACTAGGAAAATCTTTTCTTTAGTCCTTGCTCGGACTAAAGGATTTTAGCAACTGGAGACGCTCATCACTTCTTTGCGCCGCTGCAATTTTAGGCTGCTAACTTCTTCCCTGAGAACAAGGTAACCATCATGAGTTCATGATAGCGTTTCTGCTTAACGAATCCACGTGCTTCATTTGCTGCCCAGATCTGTGAACATTTCATAGTCAAATTCTTCTAGAAGTAACCGCCCATCTCGCCACTTTAGGAGTTAAATCTTCTTCTGAACATAGTCTTCTGGAAAGCATCGCAATCCGTAACTATCCTGACCTTAGATCCTAAAAGGTAATTCCTGATTTTCTTTAGAGCTTCTACTATAGCTAAAACTTCAAGCTCATAACTAGATAGCTTCTCTTGGAGGAGACTCGTTTTTTTACTCATGAAGTAAATGGGGTGTAACTGTCCATCATCTGACTTTTGTAGCAATATACAGCGCCGAAACCATGACTCTGCTTGCATCTGTATGCAATTCTAATGGTGCTCCTTGTTTAAAAATATGAAGAACCGGACTCGTGGATAAAAGTTCTTTCAATTTATTAAATGCATCTTTTGTTCAGGCCTAAATTTGAATTCTGCTCCGTTACGAAGAAGATCACTTAATGGTTTCGCTATTTTTGAATAATTGGCAATAAATTTCCTAAAATACCCAGTAAGGCCCAAGAAACTTTGAATCTGCTTAAGGTTTTTGGGTTCCGGGAAATTTTGAACAGCCCTGGTTTTTTCACAGTAGAGGGGCGAATTGTACCATCCTTAATAACATACCCGAGAAATTCTATTTTTCTTTTCAAAAATTGGCATTTCTTAAAATTAATCTCCAAACCATATTCTTTGGCTACTTCTAAAAACGCGTTTCAACTTTTCTAAGCCTTCTTTCTCATTTCGTGTGCTGGAATAATAAAAGTCCATGTAAGTAACAACAGTGTCATCCCCGCCCGAATTAAATCTCTAAACCACATTATAAATAAATCTTTGAAATACACTAGGGGACGTGCACAAACCAAAAGGTGCTTTAGAAATTCGTACAAGCCTGCATGAGTAAATGGGGTGTAACTGCCAAATATTTAGTGCAGTTTTCCTCATCTGGAACATGAAAAAAACCATTTTTGAAGTCTTAATGTCGGAAAAAAAACCTTTGCTTCACCCAAACGATCTAAAACCACTTCTGCTTGTGCCATAGGGAAAAGAATCCTTAACCTATTTTTTTTATTTAACTGCCTGAAGTCAACACAAATCCGTGTCTTGCCCGATTTTTTTCTACACAAAACAATTGGCGAAGCATATTCTGAACACGACGGCTTTATAATCCCATCCTTTAACCATTCATCTATTTGATTATCAACAATTTTTTGGTCAGCAAAAGGAATTCTCCTTGAACGCTGAGAAACTGGAATATCATCTTTTAATATTACTTTCATTTTTAAGTCTGTACAGCGCGGCTTTTCTAACGGTTTATACTCATTAATAAGAGTGGAAACAGTATTGCGTAATCCTTCATCTTTAATATGCCATAAATCTGTTTCGCTGTCTCCCTCAATGGCTGCAGAAATAAAAGACAAAAAATTCCTTTCCGAAGAGACGGAATCATTTTCATATTGCGTAATCATCACCTGGTCACAACAGATCATTTTTAGACAGAAAGGGGGGAAAATACTTTCCGTTATCAATTCATCAACCATCGCTGCTTCTTCTCTTTCTTTTTTTTTTTTGCTTTTGCATAAAGAGAAAAATAAACTTAGCCGTTTCCGCATTACCACCACGTGACCAAACGAACTTTTGAGTTCTATTACATCTACTTGGTAATTTTATTCGGAAAAAAGGGATTTCTTTACAACTATCAATTCACTTCCAGAATCTGTTAAACATTTTACTTTTCTTACCATCAATCAACAGTTCAATAAATTCTAACTTTATTTCTAGCTGCATTATCCGAATTCAAATCTCTTAACCCAGATACCTTTTTTTGGAGACAAACTTCTCCTCCTTTACCTAAACCGTTTGGGACAATTTCTCGCAAAATGAAATAATTCCCCTTTACTCCCACATACATAGCAAATACGTTCTGGTTTACTACTATACCCTGATTTACAAGCTTCCCTTGAATCCTTGAAATTGCTCTGATGCTTTTCTAAGATTGTTTTTGGAAAAATTAAGCGTTTTTATTTTCTGGAGTTTTGATTCACATGTTACTGGTATCAATTAAAGATTTACCCCTGGATGAATAAAATAAATCACATCCTCTTCCAATTGATTAGGTGGGTACCAACTTTGACCCCTCCTGAACACTAATATGTTTCCTTTGTTTTAGAATCAAGAGTTTCATACAACTTATCAGATACAATAAGATCACAATTTCTTAAAAGTCATCTACCTCTCTTAACTTGCAATAATAATTGAAAGTTGCACTGAGTTGAGACGCGAACTGAACATGCGATTCAGATGAATGTCTCTGCGCATTTTAAAATTGTTCAAACACTCACGCGGTGTTGGCTGAAATTCTTTCAAGATTAGAGTTAGTTTTAATTTATCATAATCCGATTTCGATTTCTTGTTCAGAAACATACGTTAGAACATTATTACATTTATCACCTAATATATTAATCAACACTTCTGATTTTAACTCCACTGGTACACTTTTAGTAGTAAAAGCTTTCTCAAGTGACTGAAAAAACAAATGCATAGCTTCCGATTTCTGAGGTACAGCTATAGTTAGTGTTTTGACGCTTTTAATAATATCTTCAACGCTAGTCTGCACGTTTCTTCCATCACTTGATAATGATTGTGATTTTAAACTTTCTAATTCAATCTGCTTCTCAATTTGAGCTAATTTAAGACGTTCGATCTCTAACAGATAGTGTTCATTACTTGTTTTAGGCGTCCGATCCTCTGCGATCGACTTGACGACGCCACGAACAAATTCAACGTTCGTTTTGAAAACATCAGAATTTTCAATAATTTTTTTAATGTCAGCTTTTTTAGCATTTTCTGGAACAGTCTGTCCAATTTGTTCCGCAATTACTATTAAATCACTTTTCTTTAAATTATTTAGGAAACTCATTTTAAAATCGAAACAAAAGTATCACTATCTTCAAGAAAGAAATAAAGCAAAGTTTTCACAGTACCTTCTCTGAAGTATCCAAATATCGCGGACAGGGCCCCCAGATTTTCTGTAGTAGGGGAGTTGAAGATGCTAAATAACAATCCCAACTTTGTTTTCCACACCACAGAGCATTTAATAAAGATAATCAGAAAAGGTACAAATTAGATTAAATACAAGTGCCATTTGATACAAAGAGGATTCTGTATAGCTTTTACCAGTCTTATCACATAACCGATTAGTGCCTACTCGCATTTGCTGATGTATTAAACAGTCCAATTTACCACCTTCGCGTGGAAAACTACAGTTCCTTATTCTACACCTTCACGTGCAGACAGATCCACCACCACACTGGGATAGCAGAAGGCTCTGTCATACTCCTCTTTCACCTCACTGCTGGCGCATCGGTGAGGCCCTCTGGTGGTTGTGTCGCACTTCCAGATACTACATACATATTTAGACCTTGAAATTAATTTAATTTAAATAACTGTTTATTCAAGTAGTTGCACTGATCATTCCAGTAGCCATTACTGTACATTAAATACATAGGTTACAAAATGCTTTTGAAATGAAAACAGTGTGCAAAATGAAATTCAATAGTAGCCCAAAAATATTTCCATTTTGCTGACCTTAAAAATGGCAACACATGATTGAATTTATTATTCAACCTCCAGTAGACAGCCTCTTGTATTTATGTGGCACACCATACCCATAGTTACTTAACTAAAATTCATTTCTTTCTGCAGAGGGTTGAAATGCATTTGCTTGCAATATGTTATGTGCAATAATATTACCTATCCAAAAGAAGCTGGAAACGTAAAAGTAGATATCTTTAGAAGATTTTCAAGTAGTAATTGCATTATAGCATTAAAGCTGTAGTGGCTAATATCTAAGAACAACTCATCACAGGTATCAGAAACACAAGCTTTTGTAAGTGTTTATGCTTTGAATTTGCCTAAGAAACTGAGCTGATAGTGGTGGGAGCAGAATCAGTATTTTAGCCAATTGATTTGAAATACAAACTATATCAGAGATAATAAAATTGATAAAACAGAAGCAAAGTGTATGAATTTAAATAAATAAACATGACTGCTTTTTAAAAGCAGGCAATGTAAAATAGATTCTGTAGTACCAAAAAATTGCAAAAATTATAGTTCAGTCCCAAAACCTGTTAAACCTGTTACTATTTTAATGTGCCCATGTTTTACAATCCAGGCAATCTGCAGATTGTAGGATAAAGTAAAATTAAAATGGCAAGCTTTTATTTTATTTGTTGTGGTTCTCATTATGTGAGTTTCATACAGGACATGATCCACTTGTTTATTATTTAGATTTATAATTCTGATGTTGATTTGTGACATTTTTTATTCTAAATTTATCAAAAATATTCCCCCTTGCTGTAAAAGTAATATTTCTTTAACAAAATATTATCCCATATGAAAATTTTGGTGAATTATATGTATAATATGATTTATGTATATATCCTTAGATGTGTGTAGTTTAGCAATGGTAAAAGGTCCTTGTAGCGGTTCTTTCACTCAATGGTACTTTGATAAGGACCAAGATGAGTGCTTTGAATTTCTGTTCAGTGGTTGCCAAGGGAATGCAAATCGTTTTAATTCAAAGGAAGCTTGTTACCTAGCCTGCAAAAATGAGAAACTGACAACTCTTGCACCTCGTATTTCTGAAGGTAAAAATATATTATATTATTCATTTGAAATTTATGCTAACTTCCCCCCTTTCTATCTTAATCCTTTTTGGAGTGAATAATGACAATACTACTTGATGAAGTATCGAAACACACTTTATTGGCCAGTATTGTCTGGACAGCTCCAAAACACGTTTTACAGTCATCGATGAACTACTATAAATATGTTGACATGATCAGCGACATAGCCTTCAGGTTATCAGGCTATCATGGTGGAGACAGCTTCACTGCAAAGCACCAGAGTACAGCTCCCAACTCTGCTTGGTCGTTCTCGGAACTCCACGTACTCTCGAGACTCTCCAGGCTACAACTTGTGATGCATTCGATGATTCCCAGAGCTCAGCACACTCTCTCGACAATGCACTAACTGCGATACATTACGAGACTCTTTTGGTGCACTCAATGACCCACTCGGCATTGCTTCCCGGCTGTTGACTCGGATTGACTCGCTAGACGAGACACCAACTCGATACTAACTATCTCGCAGTCCAGACGAGGCACTCTGACTTGCACTCTCAACAGACTCTCTAACTGACTGCAGACCAGCAGGGTTTCTATAACTTCCGGCTTGTGTTCAAGAAATAAATGCATAAAAATTGATTTACTTCTTTTGCATAAAATTGATACTACTGATACTATACATAAAATTGGTACTATGCATAAAATTGATACTACTTCTTTTTTGATTATAACTTTTGATTCTGCAAAAGTTATAATCAAAAAAGTAGGAACACATGTTATTTTTATACCAGTTCATTGCTAAAAAAGTGCAACATTCTTTTAAAAAATATATCCATGTCTGGAAATATGTTCTGGCATATTATTATATATTCTTTATTTTGCACTTTTAGCCTGAATATTATGATTTATCTTTTCTATCCTAAAATCCGCAGAACCTCTGGTTCCACGCTTTGCGGATTTCTGGACTTCTACTGTACTTCAATGCAGTCAAGCAGGAAAGTGCACATTCATCCCTTTGTAGTGATAAATGCCAAGAAATCTTTCTCAACAAAAGTGCTTTGAAATCTGTTTATACATTATTTTGTAATAAGTTTTCTATCTGGTTGTACTATTTCAGAATAAAAATGAATAAAATGCATAAATTTAACATTTTACATAAAAGTTTCTGGGCTAAACCGGTAAGAATTCGTTCTATAAGGTTCTCCATCCGTCCACATGGCATATCGCCAATTTTGGCTCCAAATGGGCGATTTCTTGCCAAATGTGGCAACCCTGCATTCCCTTGCCATTTTATGACAACCCTAAAACTGCTTTGAAGCTATCTCACCATGCCGGTACATTTTGTAACAATATTTATTCTTCAAGATACTAATTATATTTGAATGATCTAGTCAACATTTATTGGTTACTCTTCAGTAAATTAGGTAATTAAATGTAGTGTAGCATTAATTTGAATGCCACACCAACTCTATACATTTACAAACATCCATATCTTATCCAAAATTCGAACCCGTGTCCCTCGGTACCATAGTAGGCTTCCCTAACCACTATACCGTCTGGACGAAGACAAAATATATGAATGTTCCAAATACATTAAACAGAATTTTTTTAACGTATTCTGTTTTGGAAATTTTGAAAGTTAAGAGATATTGTTCACAGAAATTCAGGCTTGATTAGTTATATGTTCCTAAATTTTCCTCACTAACGATCTAGTGAATGGTATAGAATTTTTGTTAGAAGCATTAAATTCTGCTCTGGGCTTAGCTTTTTTCCGCTCCTGATCAAGTATTTCATGCATAATCTTATAATTTAATAACAAGTGTTAGAAATAACTACAACCTTGCTTTACTAAAGTTGATCTGAACTCCAGCAAAAACTGTACTTTATATTAAATTTTATATTTTATAGGTTCTAATCTTTACATTGATTATTTATTATTAGTGCTTTGAATGAAAATGTTTTCAATATAACTTATTGCAGATGGGTTAAAAAAAGTCAGATATGTATAAAACATATAAAGCTAAAAAAAAGTTCACTAATATAGTGAAGCAATCATTTGCTGAACTTCATGTTTTGCTATTCTTACATAATCTGGGATTGCCACTCCCCATATCTTCAGAATATTTCTTGTACATATAGGAAATAAATTTCATAAGTAATGTATACTGAATATTGAAAATATTCTTCAACTTTGTTTTTAAAGTAAATATTTAGCACATTTTCAAGATGTCTGATTATGTACATCTGTATTTTTTTCTTAACTTGAATGCATAAAATTGATTTACTTCTTTTGCATAAAATTGATACTACTGATACTATACATAAAATTGGTACTATGCATAAAATTGATACTACTTCTTTTTTGATTATAACTTTTGATTCTGCAAAAGTTATAATCAAAAAAGTAGGAACACATGTTATTTTTTATACCAGTTCATTGCTAAAAAGTGCAACATTTCTTTAAAAAATATATCCATGTCTGGAAATATGTTCTGCATATTATTATATATTCTTTATTTTGCACTTTTAGCCTGAATATTATGATTTATCTTTTCTATCCTAAAATCCGCAGAACCTCTGGTTCCACGCTTTGCGGATTTCTGGACTTCTACTGTACTTCAATGCAGTCAAGCAGGAAAGTGCACATTCATCCTTTGTAGTGATAAATGCCAAGAAATCTTTCTCAACAAAAGTGCTTTGAAATCTGTTTATACATTATTTTGTAATAAGTTTTCTATCTGGTTGTACTATTTCAGAATAAAAATGAATAAAATGCATAAATTTAACATTTTACATAAAAGTTTAAATCATGTTAAATTCTCTTAAAATTTACTAATTCTAAAATAACCATTTCTAAAATTGTTTTAAAAAATACCCCTAAAAATACAATTGGTTTTGTCTAGGGATTAAAAAAAGCATAGCATTACGCATTTTTTACTTATCTACTCTCTCCTGATTCTGTGTGCTATTTCCTTGAACACATTTATTAATTCTTAACTTTTTACTTTGTGTTCTTTATTTTTGCTTTGAGAAAAAGTGTCATGTATCATAAACATGTTCCATCAATTTCAGATGTATGTACACTGCCTCAAGAACCTGGTCCTTGTTTAGGATACTATAGAATGTGGTATTATGATAATAATGACAATATATGCAAATCATTTGTTTATGGAGGATGTGATGGTAATGAAAACAGGTTTGAAAAAAGAACTGAATGTGAACAGCTATGCGTCAAAAAAACTTCCAAAGGTACTTTATTGATTTTATGTAAATTACACTTAATTTTAGATGTTAACTTTTATTTTCAAGAATTTTATCTTAGAGAAGCATAAATTGTCCATTTTATTCTATATATGTCGTTTCTTAACCATAGGCATTGTAAATTAGTACTTATTCATGATATTCATGCTTCTGACTCAGACTAAAAACAAACTTATTTTACCTTCTAATTAAACATGGGAGAAAAGTTTATTATCAAACATTGTTCTTCAAACTATGGGAAAAGAGTGCTTTCTAATTATACCTGATTCATTAATATGGTACTTGATAAATTATACTTAATTCATTCATAAAATAATACACGATCACTTTTATTGAATAGGGTAATTTACAAATCTTGTAACTACATCTAAGTATTTCATTTTGATTAATTTATAAAAAATTTTTTAAAAATCATACATTTGTGAATATCTTTTTAACAATCCGTAAGTAAATGATTCAGGCTGAAATTTTTTTTAATGATATATGCGTCAAAAGCCTCATTGTAACATTAAAGAAAATCTTTATTTTTAATATCTATCAAATATCATATACTCGCATAGGGAAAAAACTGGTGATTTGGTGCTGGAATAATCAAATAAAATACTCTCATTCTTTATTTGAATGTATAAGATGAACATAGAATGTCATACCTAAGAATCTGGAAAAACAATGAATGCAGGTGATGTGTGTATGTGCATATATATATGTAATAAATTGGAAAAGGTTTATTGTATAGCTAGAATGATGACACTTGCAGATAGATATAACCATAGAATTAACATAATTTTATTACTGGATAACACAGTTCTTTAGATGCATAATCTGATTAATCATTGTGGGTGCAATATGTATCCCAGAATTTTTGGAAACTTCATTTTTAAGGCATGCAATGGAGTATAGACAGAAGTAAGTAGCAATGTATTACAGTCAAATACCGAAAATCCGCCGACCTGAAATCCGCTTTGCCTCTCAAAATATAAACATTCAGCTTATAGGTTTTGGAAACCGCAACATGGAGTCCGAAATATCGAAGAAAAAATATTTACCGGATAATGACGTCATAATTACTGAATAAAATGAGTCATAACGGGAATACCAAAGTTTTTTCCCCTCCAGTCTGCATAGAGGTAAAAAAGCAGATGATTCACTTAACTCTTCTTTCAAGTACATTCATGTTGTTGTACTTTTTCTAAGCTTTGTTATTTCACAAGATTGTTTAGTGTTGCCGAGTTTTTTATTATTATTATTATTATTATTATTATTATTATTATTATTATTATTATTATTATTTATCTGGATATTTTGTGGATAAATTAAGAATATTTTAAATTTTAGCACTTTTAATACAATGACAGATAAGAAACACACTCATGATTTTACTGCTTGCAATGCTAAAAAACGTAAACACATTGCATTCACAGTAATACAAAAAGTGGAAATTCTGCAAAAGATGAAAGGCAGATGCTACTCCTCGGTTTATAGCAGAATCATATGGAATTTCGGCACGGACCGTGTATGATATATGGAAAAATAAAGAAAAGCTGTTAAAATTTTACAGCAACAGTGATTCTAACACCGGAATCTGAAACTGGAAATTATTACACGAGGCCAAATCAGCAAACCTCGATGCCATCTCGTAGCAGCGGTACGAGTGATGGGGTACCAATCTCAGGACTGCTCATGAGAGAAAAGGGAAAGCAGATTCAAGCTGATTTGAAAATAGAGGAGCCTAATGTAAATGAAATATATATAATCAAATTTTATATATGTAATAATAATTTAATAATGCATATAATAAATTATTGTAATAATGTATATAATAATTTAATTTAAATGTATCTAATATGCCTTTCTTATTTTGCACTTTTAGCCTGAATATTATGATTTATCTTTTCTATTCTAAAATCCGCAGAACCCTTTGCGGATTTCTGGACTTCTACTGTACTTCAATGCAGTCAAGCAGGAAAGTGCACATTCATCCTCTGTAGGGATAAATGCCAAGAAATCTTTTTCAACTAAAGTGCTTTGAAATCTGTTATACATTATTTTGTACTCAGCTCTCAGCATCTTAGTCATTTATTGCATGCATATCTTGTTCACATTAGGACATCTATTTAATGATATGGGTGGATCCAGTGATAACATCTAGTTCCTTGACTAGAACTTCCAAAAATAGTTAGTATTTTCCACTAATGATATCTGTGAAAATCACGTTCTTGGTAATTTTTGGTGCAGGAATGATTTAAGAAGTGTTCATCTGGCATCTGTATTAGCCCTCTTATTAAGTGTCTTGACCTACTTATACAATTTATTACCATATTGGTGCAATATTTTTCTCTGAATTTCATAAAGTTTTATGGATTATATATCTGACTACCAAATCCCAATAACTGCTACTTTTCCATGCAGACACCAAATGGTACCATCATGCTCTATATGCTTGCTGTATTGTGATTATGGATGACATCCACAATCACAGTACAGCAACTGTAATAATGTTTCATTAGAATGTGTCATCCTATTATTTATATACGAGTTTTGGAATGTATTCCTGAAATACAGAAAAATTTGCTGTAACTTTTTGATACATTTCAGTAACTCTCTCTGATAATGTCAACAGATTATAAACATGAAAATAACTATTTAAACTATTCAATTGTTATCATAAAATGATGTTTTCTAATGATTATTTTTTATAGTCTGGGTGTTGCCAATTAATTCAAATTTTTAATTCTTTCAGAACCCCTAATTGTGTTACCTGACCGACCCAGGAATACCAATGAAGGTATATCCTCACATTCACATTTCAGTTATTCATATGCAGTGAAAGAACAGTTTTTATGCAAAAAATTTTCTACTTTTTTTTAAAACTATCTCATATTTAAATATTTATTTTTTGCTTTATTCTTTTTACTCTTTTTTATTATCATCTAATGGAAGAGCTGCTTTTAGATTTAGATAATGAGATAAGCATTAAATTTTTAGCTGTTTCTTCATTTTACGTTATGTAATTTTTTTAAAACATAACTGTGAAAAAGTTTTAAATTTTGAGACTATTATTTTTATGACTTACAAAATAAAGTGTTACTGCTGTATTGTCTTACAAACTGCTGATTTCCTTTCGTACTAAAATAATTAAGAACGCATTTTTATCTGACTTGAAAATATTTGATAATACATTCAGCTATTTGAATTTTAAATGTTATTTTTCAGTTCTAAATTCAGTTATTTATTGTGTTATGTCCTTGTAAATGCAATTTATATAAGCATATTTTTTAATTTGTTTAATAAAGAATGAATGCTAATGCTAAAGTTTTTTTTAAAGCTGTCAGAAAGTTTATGAATGGAACTTAATTTTGTTTCATTCCCAATGAATTAATTAGGCATGTCCATCATATGACCAGTTTACAGTATATAGTTTGAAATTTAGTTTGTTTTGAAGCATGCATTCCATGCCATAATCAGTTTTATTCAATAGCAATAAAAGAAAAAATGTACTTGTCATTTCTTTCTTCAGAAAATTATGAAAACTTAATTATTATGTCTGTATTTTGTGCAGATGTGTGTCGTTTACCTGTGGAGCCTGGGCCATGCAATGAAGCCCTTCCAAGATGGTTCTATGATGCAGTAAGCCAAAATTGCCTTCCATTTGTTTATGGTGGCTGCAGTGGAAACAAAAATAGGTTTAAGACCTCAGAAATTTGTCTGAAGTTTTGTAGTGGAATTAAAGGTATTTGCAAACTTAATTTCTGATATATTTCTATTATACTTAATTGATATATTATATATTAATTTATCTTTTAATGTAGTCAGTAGTTTTTTAAGGTAGCTTTTACTGTCAGGATGATAATATTTTGATGAAATAATTATAATAAACCTTTGATGAAAGGAATAAAAAATATAATTTATTAATTTAGTTTAAATATCACGCTGAATAACAATAAAAAAACAAAGTCCAACATTCAGCTTAAATTTTTAAAAAATTTTTTTCAGTATTAGTTTCAATAGTTTTTGAACTACCTTCTTCAGCTCCTAAGTGCAAATAAAGGGTGAAGAAAAGTTGTACATCCAAAAAAACATTTCTGTTCTAGTTAATGACCCCAATTGCAATCCATCTCCAGAAGTTCACTGAAAGTGATACATGTAGTTCCATGCCAGCAGAAATTAATTATGATGCATGCTGTAGAATTTTTTTAGAAACAATAAGAAGTTTGTTACATTAGTATCAAGAAATGCAAATTAAAAGCATATCTATGATTATTTATTTCTTGTTCTAGCTGTACCTGGAGTTGCCCAGACACCATACATTGTTCCTCTAACTCCTGCTACTACGGAAACAGTTCAGTGTGCCCCGTCTAATTGTGCTTCCATTCAGTGCCCATATGGTATCGAAGAATCATTTGATGTAAATGGATGTTCTTCATGTAGATGTTCTAATCCATGTGAGGTACTGCTGAAAATCTATTCAATATTTTTCATGTTTATAGAACTTTTTGCATTGATTTGATCTCAGGTAGTATGAAAACCTGCTAAAATCAAAACGAATTTCTACTTGAATCTGTAATTCAGAAACAATGCTTAGGTATGACTATAGGCTTGCTAATAGTTTTTAATGCTGTAAGATTATTAAAATGTTCTATATAAGTCATATATAATTAACTCTGTATACAAGGCATTAACAATTCTGTCAGTAATTCTACACATTGTCTCATAATTCTTTTTCTGATTACAAATATTCATAAAGCACAAAATGTAACACATTGACAAATATTTTTTATATTGAATTGCATGTAACATATTCAAGTTTTGGTGTACATGCTTACTGTTACTTTGTTTGTTGGATTGATTGCCTTGCCCATTATGACTTTGCTGTTGCCAAGCTGTGTGAGATTGAAAAAAATATTGACTATCTGAAATGTGTCCTTTTCTCAGATGAGGCCACATTTCATTTGAATGGTGGTGTCAAGTGACACAATGCTAGAATCTGGGGATGTGAGAATCCCCACGGGACCATCAGAGGCAGCCCTAAGCATAACATGTAGTGTGGTCTTATGCACAATAAAAATCATAGGACCTTTTTTTCTTCAGTCAAAAGATGATCACAGTCAATAATTATTTTGATATGTTGCAGTTATTTGTTGTACCACAAATTCAAGACATTCCAGACTTAATTTTCCAACAAGATCATTACCTCATTGGGGGTTAGATGTCCATGCCTATTTGGATACAACATTTCCAGGAAGATGGATCAGGTGTGATGATCACCGGACATAAAAACAGCTGGATTTCTTCCTTTAGGGTTATGTCAAGGGCCAGGTTTACTAAATACCAGTAAATGACATCGCAGCATTACTGAAGTCCCATCCCTCATGTAATGTTGACCAACACATGGATGGAATTGGCATATTGCCTGGATATCCTTCGGGCAACGAAAGAATCACATATAGAAATTTTTGTAGAAAAATTGTACATGAAAAATTTGAACATATTACATGCAATTCAAGCTAAAAGTATATGTCATATTTTATGCCTTATGAATATTTGTAATCCGGGAAACAATTCTAGGACACCCTATATATTCAATTCTGTCACATATAACTTAATTAAATACATTCACAATGAATATCAGTCTTATAAATTTATGCACATGTCAGTGCATTGATTTTAAATTATTCTGCAGTAATGCTGATGCTTAGACATGTCAACAGCTTTAATAGCTTTTCTGTTTCAGGTTGTAGAATTTTCAAATTGCAAGTCATATTAAAATAAAAAAGAAACTGAAATATATCATTTATAAAGAGCTTTTATTTTTACTAAAAGTTTATTGTTCTGAATCACTTTGCTTAAGTATGCTGAGTTTTATTTAAATGGGCTATTAATTGATTTTTACTGTATTTGATACTACAGTACAAAGTCTGTAATCCGGATGTCCATTATCCAAAATGATCTATAATAATCTAGAGACCTCAAAGCTACAAAGTTTACGCATGCACATACATTATGCATGCGTGTAATGTATGCTTTACACATGCGCGAATTGAAAGAAATGTTTAATAAAATAAACAAATAAATATTAAGCTTTTTTTTTTTTTTTTTTTTTTTTTTTTTGTGTGTGTTGTGTGTGTGTGTAAAATTGATAACCCATTAGATCATAATTGCTCTTTATTTCATGAATTATGGTTTCATATTTTTAATTGTGTAATTTCTGCATGCCATTTTACCAGATTTAAATTGATCTATAATCCGGAAAAACACCTGATCCGGAATTGCCAAAGTACCGACGAGTCCGGATTACACACTTTGTACTGTATTTCTCTTTTAAAAAGGTTTCAATTTTCATTGAGAAGTATTATGCTGAAAGATTTCCAAAATTTCATCAACAGATCATAGATGGGAGAACTATGCTGTAAAATTGAATATTATTAATATTTTACTTCCAGTTGCAATATAGCTGTAGTATTTTAAAGTTTCTTCAGTGTTATTGTGTTCAAATTATTGAGTTAATTATTGTTGTTTGGGATAAGAGTGATGCTGGTTCCCATGATCAAATAATTAATAATCCTTACTAGCTATTTGCTGTTAGAGGTGGATTATTTCTCTTAATGCCTTCTGAGCTGTGGGAAAGATCAGAACGGGAATTGTAACATAAAATGCTATAAAATATCTCAATGTGAAAGGTAAATTCTTATATACTGCTGTATTCAACTTTAGTACAGAACATATCATGGTTAATTCTAACAAAAAGAAATTGCTTCTTATATCATGAATTATGAGAAATGGTTGTTTGTGTAATTAAATAAATGTATGCCCTGTGTGAGTAAACTTTGTGATATTAATTTGAAATTCTTGGCTTAGATTTGTTGTAGAACTACTTTTTTCTAATTAATGGGGGTACAAGACATTATTTATGATATAATATATCTGATAGGAAATCCAACCATAAGTGAACCATATGAATCTTTTTCAAATTTTATCAAAGTACATTTTAACAACAAAAACTAGGAAATAAATGAAGAAAAGCAAAAAAATTTCCTTTAACTTAAGAAAAATTTAGATATTTATTAATAAAGTTGTCTTTCCTTCTAAATTAAAACAATGAATAACTATACATGTATTTTTAAGAAATTTTCAACTGCATCTTATGGCATTAGCTGTAGTAGTAGATTTGAAAAAGTTAGGAGATATGTTTAATAATTCCTTGTCATCTCTCCAGGTGGTAACCTGCCCGGAAGGAAGCCGTTGTGCGATTGATATTGCCCGTACTTCACAAGAAGGAATAAGGACAGAACCAGTGTGCAGGAGAAGTATGATAATATTTTTTATGCAAAAATCCTATTAAACAATTACAAGCAGTGTTATTAAGTGTCCTATTGACACTTAATAACACTGCTTGTGTTATTAAGTGTCAATAGGACACTTAATAACACTGCTTGTAATTGCTTGTAATTGTAGAGTATGTATAAAAGCTTTTTCTGCTTCTCTTTAAGATTTATCATTAAAACATTTCAGTGCAGAAACCTGGAGTATGTCCATCAGGTGGCCGTTTGAGTTCTGGCCCAAGAGATTGCGAAACACGTTGTAGAGATATAGTTAATAGTGTCCTACTGACTTAACAATTACAATTACAAGCAATTACAGCTTATAACAAAATTGATGGTTATAACTCTAAGGAATGTAATATGAGATGGAATACAAAATGTGAACATAAAAACATGAGTATAAAGAACAAGAAGAGTGAAGAGTCATTTTAGTCATGGCAATTTACATGAAAAGTGTTTGATAGTTCGAAGAATTATTCAAATGAATGACCAGCAACTGCAATATGTGCATCATAACAATGACAAGTCTCATTTGTGAGATGCAGTTCGACTCTACTGAAGACCTTGTAGCCAGAATTAGTGTCACTGCTGCAGAAGTACATGATATGCTGGGCATCTATCTTCCAAAGTGTACGACAATCATTTCATCATCGATATGATGTATATATTGTAGTTGGTGTTCATTCATTTGAACAATTCTTGTAAATATCTACAATTAACACATCTTTTCTCACTTCTGTGTTTCCTGGTTCACATCTGTATTATATGACATAAAAATATTTTTCATTCATAAGACACTGTTTGGTACCAGATATAAATATTGGCTCTAAATCTAACAAGAAATTATAACAATATATACAGCTTTGTAAAGAGAAGAGCTATTTTAATAAATCCAAAATAAAGATGAAAGAATGAATCTTAATTGAAGTTCACAGAATTCTATCAATGTACCTGCCTGAAGTAAATAAGCCAAATGGTTAGAAAATTAATCCAGAGACTTTAAATCATGTCCAGTCTAGAGACCTTTCTTCTCATAGCATGATATTTCATCACCCTGCTATTTTAGTATTTTGGTAATAGTAAAATACAGTACCATTTTATAATTTTCCCAAGTCTTTCAATATGGGTGATACATTGCCTTGGTAGAGTTTAATTATTTTTTGAGATATTTGGTAGTTGTTAAATCATATAACTGGTATAGATTTCTTCTTTGAAAAACATCAGCACATCAAGAAAAAACAACTGAAAAAAGAAATAAAAAAAAAAAAAAAAAAGACTGAAAATCTCGGAAGGAAAATTATTAGATCTATTTTCATTTTTTCCATTTTACTCCCAATAACTCATTGTTTGGTTATTCATGTTGTAAAATAAACAGTTTATCACATGTGAAACAGAATGACTACTGATATCCTATTGACTGAAAAGTACCAATATAAAATTAGGTTGTATTTCAGCAATTAAAAGTATAAAAAAATTTATTATTATTATTGATTAGAAAACTTAACAATGCTATGCTTTTATGAAAGTAAAAGGAAATTTGTGTGTGTGTGAAAATGTTTTCTGAGTTCATTGAAGAAATGATTGGACAGAGTATGTATAAAAGCTTTTTCTGCTTCTCTTTAAGATTTATCATTAAAACATTTCAGTGCAGAAACCTGGAGTATGTCCATCAGGTGGCCGTTTGAGTTCTGGCCCAAGAGATTGCCAAACACGTTGTAGAGATGATGCAGATTGCCGTGGAGAGCATAAATGTTGCAATAATGGATGTGCTTTTCAATGCATGGCACCTGCAGGTAATGTAAAAAATCTCGTATTGTACTGTCCTTTCTTCTCATAAAACTAGACATCATGGTACTGCATGTTTTAGGATTGTTATTAATTTCTTTTATAACATTTATCAACATGTATTTTATACCACCATATTAATAAGTTATATGTTTCAGTAATTTTTTCACATCTTTGTTAACTGACAAATTATTGTTGCTTGTTTTATTCTAAAAGCTCATTAAAAATCATAAGAATGGGTGATTTAATTGATCATAAAAACTTGGACACTGTTGGTAACAGTACATCTTTATCGGACACCAACACAGTATTAATCAAGGTATCCCAGGATATGGCATCTAAAGGTTCTCGTACCTTTGGATGATATATCTTACTACCAGTCTCTCAAAAATATTTTTATATGAGTATTTATTTTTATATTGAATATATCTTACTTCATGTAATCACACCTGTCATAAACATTCATGCATTACTGGGGATTCTGATCTGGTTTATTGCCATGATAACTTCCACTATTAATCATAAACCAGTCAGCCATTGACTAAACATATGTAAAATATATTAACTTTTCATACATTTTTGGTAGAAAATTAGTTTGTATTTTATGGCCTGTTTTTAGTAATAATTTCAGAAAATGAATGGTGTACTCAGCATTCATTTTGGATCTTCTAAATCCCAATCATCTGAGATTAGCATGATATAAAATAGACACTTTACATCATTGAAATCTCAGATAGTTTCTCTTATGTAAAATTTTCAATAAAGGCAATTATTTTAATTTTTCAACATTAAAAATATTAAATATTCAGGATCTGAAAAATTTCAAGATTGAGCTAACTTTCACTCAGTAGGGCATTTTAACATTTCTAAGAAATTTTGAAAAACATACATGATATAAAACCATAATTGTGAAACAATTCATTTCTTTGGTATAGCATAAATATGTATTGAAAAATATACATTTAAAACATATTTTTGAAAGCAATTTATTACTTTTCATTTATGATGAAAGCCTAGTTTAAAATTAAGTAAAATTCAAATTGATACTACTTTTAAAGGAGTGCTGTATATAGAGCAGCTAGAACACTAAAGCTTTTTTTTAGTATTAATGCCAATTAATTTTGAATTTTTCCTTTTAATTCCTTGTAATTGTAATTTTGAAAGTTAATATGCTTCCGTTATATTTGATAAGGCAATAATGATGGCAGAATTGCTTCTGCTAAGCTGCTGGCAAACTCCTGTATGGCTAACATCACCATCAGCATTCAGTTTATCATTAACAAAAATTTAAGAATTCCTGAATTTTATTCTGTTTATAAAATGAATATATTTGGGCAAAAGAAATATTGCACTTCATTTTTTCCCCTCAGAATTTTCATCTAAAGGATTGAAAACTCTGCCTTTGAGGCTGATATTTTAATGCTACATATATCCCTCTCTTCACTTTATTTTATTTTATTGAAAGCCCTACATTAGCACTTTTTACTGTATCTAAAAGAAATCCAAATTGAATTTTTCTCTTTTAACAAAAGGAGGCAGAAATAAAAAGTAGCATTTATTTCTTGTTCTGTTTAATGACTTAAGAATATAATGGTATAAAAATATGCTGATCGAGGACAATTTTGCAGGAATTTATGATTGCCTAATAAATGCAATGGAAAAAGTTTAAGTAGTCAGGCATATTATCATATTTCAAGCCTTATACATAAGCTACAGCAGATAGCATACGTTGCTTTTAGAAACTATAGTATACAGACATAAAAATTTGCAGACACAGTATTAAGATAGATAAAATAACCATCCATTTAATAAATTATATTTGCCTTCATTTTCCTAGTTCCTAGCCCTTTGTACCTTTCATTATAGAATTTCTGTTGATTCTGTGAACCATCTGTAAACCTGTTTGCAGTCTTCCAAATACAGTGGAACCCTACTTATATCACATAAAATGAATCCCCACATAAAAATATGTACATTTTGGCCCCATCAAGTTTCCTATACACTTAATAGTATTTTATACTATTATAGAGAATCTCTGAGAGTATGAAAATCGGATACCTTCAGTTGAAGCTTTTTTATTCCCAGAACTTGTGCAGGATTTAACAAAAAAATTACTTGTTATTAAAATTATCCATATTTAGGATATTAGGATACACATTCCATCCATAAAGTGAAATACCCTTACGTTATTTTTCTTTTATCCTCAACTTCACTTTTCTTTGTATTCTAAACAAAATCTATGTGAGACAGGTGTGACAACGAACTCTTGGAGAATGAGGGTACAATAAGGATACCTAAGGGTACCATACGAAATACAGGACCGTGAAAAAAAGTGTACATGGGTTCTCTAATTCTATTCAAATTCTTTGACAGAACTACCACACAGCTCCACCTATTTTGCTATGATGCAAATTTTGAAAATTTTACAATTAGGGGAAGAGGAAGTTATGAATCTGATCAGCTTGCTTTACAGTTGGTTCTTTTTTTAGGAAATGAAAAGTTTTTATTCTTATTAGTTTGTTTTGTTTGAATGTAAATGCTCTTGAAGTTCTCTCCTCTGAATGTATAGGTATTCCTTTTGCAAGACATAGGATAGATTTTGTAAAGTTGAATCTTTGCATTGCAGCCATGCATATAATTTTTTTATTTATTAAGTGCTCTACCATTAGGCACTACACAGAGAGGAAGGGATGCCCCATTGACAGCTTTTTAAAGGAAATTGTTTGGTTTGTTACACATGGGGAAAACCATGAAAATAGCCATGCCGCCTGTCCATTTGCCAGGGTTCAAGCCCTGAAACAAACTAGCAATGTTTAGTGGCTTTTACTACTCAGCCACTGGTGTGCCTCATACACATGTTTGGAGAAATGATTTTGTTTTCATTGGACTACAGTTAGCTGCTTCCTTTTTCCAAGGGTGATATTAAGCTTAGTTATCTTATAAATCTTATGCACATTTAAAAAAATTATTATTTTTCATTATTTCAATTAAACCAAGTTATATTAAGGGAAGTTGATATATCATGCAAAATATTTTATGCTGTTCTACCCCATGAAAAATTCATTCTCTAAAATCGAAATCCACAATTAAGAATTTTTAATTATCATTCAATAAAATTCATACATAAAGTCAATTAGATATATACAACAAAATCCACAATTAAGAATTTTTAATTCTCATTCAACAAAATTCATAAAGTAAATTAGATACATACAATGATACTTTTCTGCAATATTCCAGCAAAAATTAGTTCTGCTTTTGTATAAATGGTTCATTGAGAGTTAGAAATTCATTGAATTGATGAGATGTCATGCAAAAGTAATTAAAAGAAATTTCAATGTCATTAGAGTGCATTTCTTCAATTACATTATTTGCATTTCCTTTTGCAGTCCTCTCTTGTGTGTTAATATAAACCACTGCTTTCTGCTTCTCCTATGTAAAGTAAGAAGTAAATTAAGGTTTAATCTACCATAAATTGGGTCCATTTTAATTAAAAAATATAACCATAAAAAGCCAAAATAACCACACAAAAATTCACATTTTTCCTTAAGTTTCAGATATGAAGAGCCATTTAGTGTGCACATGTGACAACTTTTAAAGTGAAAGTTTCTGTCCTGGTACAAACTGACATATGAAAATGGGGGGGGGGGGTTTCCCCCCCCCTCCACTTTTCGCATTCAATCTGAATGCAGCTTAAAAATTTTATTGTTATAATAGTTTTTCAGATAAAAATTGTAAAGATAACCTTGTTGTTTTTTTACCAATTCTGAAGAAAGTGCTGGCAAAACAGTAAAGAATTTTTTCATTATACATTTTATAATTTGTATTATCAAATAATTTGATAATAAGATAATCTGTTAAATCAAGCTCCTATAAAATTAAAAGTGCCATTCTTTGAAAGTTTCTTATTTTTGCTAGAGGCTTTCAGAAATACTTTTTTTTTTTTTTTTTTTTTTTTTTTTTTTTTTTTAATTTTGAAAACAAGGAATTTTATTTCCAATAAATGTTTACAAATATTTTGAGTTATGTTCAAAGTATGATCAAGACAAATAGTATAAAATTTTGAGAGAAAAAGCATTAATTAAAAAAAAGGTTTATTTTTATATCTAAGTACATGTAACCAAAAAACAACACAATTTTGTGAACTTATATACATGTGGCTGATAGTAGAATTGTTTTTTAATTACTTTAAGGTAAAGTAAAAAAATTCTAATCTAATATAACATCAAAGATGTATTTATGACATACTTAATAGGTACTTGAGTAACATTCATGGTTACATAGAACATGTAATACTTTTCATTCTGAGTCCACTTTTTTATAAATATAATCTCATATTTTGGTGAAAAAAGCAATGCTTTGAATTTTTTCCCCTCTCCCAAGCTGTTTTATGGAAGTCAGTTGGAAATTTTGATTTATGAAGAATTTTCTTCTGCTGAAAAGCTCAGATTTCCATATCTAGTTTCTATTTTGCTAAGCAAATTTATGCTTTGCAAAATTTTGTTTCCATGATTTACAGTGCAAAATAATTTTTAAAAATTAAATAGTTTTTTATATTGTATCTGAAAGTCAAACAACACATCAGCCAATAAAAATGTTTAGCTCAATATTTTCCTCTTTTTAACTTAGATTATATAAATTGTTTTTCATATACACTTCATTTTTAGTAATTTTTTATAACTTTAAGTAGCAACAATATATAACATGGTAGGATTACAGTCAAAATAACTGCATTCATAAGGAAACAAATAACAATACCAGTAACAACCTGATCATTAATAAAAGTGTGATAAAGGCCACTTCCTCTTTTGTAAAACCTCTTTTTTTTTTTTTTTTTTTTGTATTTTTGGTAAGAAATTTTCACTTATCTAATTTTTAAATTTGCATATTTCTTAAATGTTTGTTAAAACCTTATCTTCATTATGTATCAGTAGTAAGTGTAACATTTTGCTTTTAGATGAATATTTGGTTCCTGCAACTCAACCAGGTATGTTTTTTTTTCCTTAAATACATATTGCTTTCTAACCTCTGTCAAAAGTGGGATTGCATTTTATACCCAACCAAATTCACATAGTTTGTCTGTAATTGTTTATCTTCAATTTTTGCAATATTTTATTATTTCAAAGGAATCTCTCAAAATGATATTTTGCCATGTTTAATTCTGATATCAGTAATCATTCAGCAAGTCAAAATTTAGAAATGGCACATTTTGATAACAAATAGCAATTCTTTGTAGGAATTATGCATGGATTCTAAAGATTTATACATGAATGTTCTTTCAACCCTCCGAGTGTTATGGGTTTAGCTCTGAAATTTTAAAGTTCCTCAAAATGTCATGAAAAAAAATAGTATTTTGTTGACTATAATTTAAAAGTGACTCTCTTATTTTGTACCTTGATTCCTTTTATTCTAATATACATCTAACCCAGAAATCTGATACATTAAAAGCTGACAGAAATTTTCATGTGTAATGAATAAGAACTATTTTATGTCTATTTTAGGTCCATAATGTTGGGCACATCTGTATGATAAATAGATCCATTTTGATGAAAGTTATAGCATAATATTTACTTAATAACATAGTTTTGCTTCCAGAACTATATTAAAATTAAACATAAAAGGTTACACTTCTGTTATTAGAGACCAGATTCAGATATGTATGTATGTGTTAATGTATGCATGTATATGTGTATACACATACATGCATACATGAACTTATTTCATTTAACATACATACATGTATTTCTGAATCCAGTCCCCCAATAACAGAAGAGTGCCAATAAAGGAAAACAGCCGAAAAACAGCAAAAAAATTAAATGTTATCATAATCTTATGTTTACAATATTACCAGTGAATACAACTATTTAATTTGCTTACTTATTAGGTATAGAATTTTTATAAAACCAATACTCAGAGTTTTATCAGTTTTATAGGCAATAACAAAAATTATATTTAGTATTCCAAATTTATTTCTTATTCTTTTCCAATATAGCTGTATATAGCACACAGCTTATAAATTTACTTTCATTTTATGAAGGGGGCAAGGCTATAAAGGAGAGGACATTAAGAGGAATATGAGTGCAACAAAAATTTATTAAAGTCAATGCAAACAGTATAGATATAGGTGTTCAGGACCAATAAATTACAGAATGAATATATATTTTTGCTCAATGATGAAGGTGCTTTAGCTTGAGAATGGAATTAATATTTTTGTGTGCCTGCCAGCAAGTGCATGTTGTTAACCTAAAACAATTACCATCATAAAGATCTTTAAATTAACTATTTCAGACATATAACAGCATGGATGTATATTCTTATATATATATAATTTTAACTAACTTTTTTTTTTTCCTGATAAAATTTCTTATTTCAGTGGTTCCCATAGTATGCATTCCAGCTTTCTTCACAGGGGTCCATGAGCCATCATAAATTTTTTGTAATTTTATTTCCATATTTAGTCATGGGACTTCTAACTGAGATGGTGTTAACCAATAATTCAACTATTATTACATATCAAAATTTTATCAATTAATAGTAATTAATTGCTGAAACAGATGACATTCTATATTAATTGTTTGTGTGTCAAGATTATTTCAGCACCTTGCTGAATTGTCTTAGTATTCTCTGCTCAATAAATCTCAGTATTTAAACAGGTTGTGGTATGAAACTAGTTTTCATTGACTGTAATATAATTGAATGGTGTTATGTTTTGAGTATGTTGCTGATATTTTTAGGAAGGAATTAAAGAAAAAAGTGTTCCTTTTTGTATTTAAAAAAAATTGGTTTTCACTAGGCACAATTAATTAGTCTGAAAATAATGAATATGCACTGTCCACCATTGGTCAAACTGCATAAAACCATAAATACGATGACAATAGTTTGGACTTTAAGGTTTTTATAATACTAGAAATCATAATGTGCACGATGTATGAAAGTTCTAGTAGCAGAGAACATTAAACTTTTGCTGAATGTGGTGTGGACCTGCAAAATGCAATTTTGCATATTTGCATTATTTTCATTGTGTCCATATAATTTATCCAACAAAGAGAATTTTAATTATATATGATACGCTGTAGAGCATCGGATACATTGCGATAGTCCTCTTTAATGACTGGTTTGAAAATCCATTCATTTAAGAAATCAAACATTACTTAGAACAGTAAAACCTAAACTTTAAAAGTTATAATGGCTCTAGGACATAGTGCTGAAGCTTTCACAACATTACATCCAAATGCAGAGGTTTTGTCTTCTGTTGCCATTTCCTTAATTTAACCAATGGATCAAGAAATAAAGTCTTTGAAGTCTTTAAATATGAGTTTGGGGCATTGCCTGTCAGAAAGAGAAATCATCAAGTGAAAATTAGTTTTAAAAAGGATATTTGAGCAGTCTGTTTCAAAAGTAAAAAGATGTGTGGTGATCAGCAGACTGAACAATCTCATTAATCATAATTTATTGAGGGCCCACCAGTGGCCGAGCGGTGTCACTGAACTTAGTCGCTGAACACTGATAGTTCGGTCCGAGGTTCGAATCCCGCGAACGGGCTGGCTGCATGGGCGTTTTCGTGGTTTTCCCCATGTGTAACGTGTATACGAGCCAGTTTCCCTTAGAAAGTCCTCCACGAAGGCATCCCTCCTCTTAGGCAGATAGCCCTCGAGGCTTTGCCATACTCACACACACGCATAATTTATTGAATCCATTTATAGCTGTCTTTGTATCGTAGTGAATTTTTATTATGTTAAATATACATTTTATTTATTTTTACCTAACTCAAGAAGCAAAATGTTATTGTTAGGCACTTTTTCACTTACGGGTGTTACAAAATTGTGATTCATCAAAGGTGTCATGAACTAAAAGGGTTTGGGAACCACTGCCTTATTCTAATATGAATAATTTTTTATTACTTTACCTCTTTCTTCTTGCATGAGCATTCTGTTCCAAATTCTGTGCATGTTTGATTATTATTCTTGTACAGAACCTGCTTCCATCCTGCCTGGTAAAAATATCACTGAAGCTCGAATTGGAGAATCAGCAGAATTGCCATGCAATGCTGTTGGATGGCCAAAGCCTACAGTTACATGGTGGCGTGAGACAACAATGTTGCCTTTGTCTAGTTCGCAGTATGAACAATTAGCAAACTACTCTTTGATAATAAGATCAGTTGTTTATGAAGATAGAGGAGAGTATTCATGCCATGCACACAATGGCATTGGTTCTGGTGCCTTATATAAAGTGACATTAATTATTGAATTGCAACCAATTCCACATGCACCCCATAATGAAGATAGTGAATACAGTGCCAGAGATTCTGAGCCATTAGCTACATATGATGGACCAAAGTATCCAGATCATGGTAATATCATTATATCATTTAAATTTTCTATTTTTATTTATTTATTTATTTATTTATTTACTTCATCATGCTTATTTAGTTCGATATGTTTTACCTGTTCTTCCCTTCACTGTATTCAAAAATTAAACTGAAAATTATTTTAAAAGATAACTCAACATGCGACCAAAAATATTAAATCTTTTTAAAACATTTATTTATTAAAATTTAGAACAAAATAAAATGTAGCTTTGATTCTGTATTGATATTTAAAATCAAGTGACAATACAGTTCTTTTCTGTATTACTTATATTTTTTGCAGCATATTGTAACTTTTCTTTACAGAAAATTCTTAAGTTTTGCATTTCGTTTTTTCTTCTGGAAGCACATACAAACAAAAATTATCATTTTGAACATTTTTTAATTTCAATGTCAAGGTTTTATAATTATTCAATTAAAATTAGACTATAATTAATTTTTACAGAAAGCTGCATTTTAGAATTACAGTAATAACAATTTTGATAATTTATGTTTTGTTTGCCGATAAAATTTCTATTGTGATTTTCTTGAAATGCACACATGCATTCACCATCTAAAAAAAAAATGTAGATTAGCATACATTTGATTTCAAAATTAAGACTTTTTATTATCATAGCATAGCCATTATATCTGTTATATTACTTATTTTACATTTCGATCAGTTTTCATCCTTGATCTATTTGTTTTCTATGCAGAGAAAATAAATACAAGTAAAAGGTAATAGATGATATTGAAATTATTTATTGAAATGACTATCTTCTAAATTGGAACAGATTTAAGTTACTTTTCTAAAATGATTCTGATTACATATTCTTAGTCACTTGTTTATGTATAATTAATTAATCAAGAATGGTTCTTCTGCTATGGTTGAAGCTTCTTGATCAGGGATGGCATTAAGTTTCTGGCCTTTTAGTTAAAAAATCCATGACAGCTAGGATGTACTTGATGCCTACAGTTGTATGAAGTAAAGACCCAAGAATATACAGAGTAATCCTTCCAAATCAATGCTGTAGTCTTCATGTACATAAACTGTGGACCTTTTCAAATACCACATACATCACAGGATTTGCACTTTTCTACATCTGCTTTATCACAGAAGAAACAATCATAAAATTTATGGAGTATCTTTTTTACACCAAAATGACTGCCAGAAGGTTTACTATGAAATTCTGACAAAATACTAGGGGCTGAAGACCATAGTACAATGAGCTCTTATCTAAAAGTCTTTCTGTCATCAGATTCACATTTGCAGTACAGAACTCCCATCTCGCACAACAATTTAATGAATAACTAAATATATATAAGCTTTTTGTAAAGACTTAAAGTAAGAATTTAGAACTGTTTTTTCACAAAGATCTAAAACTGAAATCCATAATTAATAAATTTCAAATAATCCAATAAATGCAACAAAGAATTTTAAAAATGTTAAAACCAAAACTTTTCAAATAAGCAATTTTTTTTCAAAAAAAAAAATTTTTTTGTAATTATAAACTTTTTGTAATATATTTTAATATGTATGTAAAAAAATAACTACTGCAAAATTATTATTCATTCTATTATTATTCATATTTGGCTACAAAACATCTTCTGAAAATGCGATTTTCATTTACAGCACCTCTTGCTGTCCATATGAGCCTTGCCACTGATGCACCCACAGTTGGATCACCTATCCAAATAGACTGTGAAATACAAGGTCCAGCACTGGGTGTTTCTGTCACATGGTATCATAATGGAATACCAATACTGGAAGATGACAATAAAAGGATTTTGCCCAATAATACGTTATTCTTAAGTAAAGCAGAAATATCTGATACTGGAGAATATCGATGTAGTGCCACACATAGTAATGGTGCTGCTTCTTCTTCATCACTTTTCCTTACAATAAAAGGTATTTTATTTTATGAAAAGCTCAATGTAATATATTAAGTAAATAGTGTAAGGCATTGAATTGTAATTTGCATATTTTTCAAAATGCTAGAGAGCTTATATACCCCTTTTTTCCTTCTCTCCCTAATGAAACCTTTCCAAATTTAAGGAAGTGGCACATGCACCTTGTAATGGCAGATTTATTTCATTTAATTTACAAAAAATGTCAGCTAAGTATGCAGGCTTTTGCAGCCCAAGAATATCAAATATACAAGAGGATAATGGGAATGGATGATGAATAAAAAATACTTCATACTGTAATTCAAACAAGCTTGTTAAATCTTTGTCACGGGAAAGCAATCAAACTCCTGTATGAAATAGCAAAGAAAGGTGAAAGCTTCCAAATACATGGCACAGACAGCAGTTTGTAGTACATGATTTTATAAAATTCATAATTTTTGCAGTATCGCTAAAAGTAACAGATAACTCTGCAGGAATATGCTTACAAGCCAATGCTTCTATTCAGTTTTCTTGATTTTCTTTGCCTGCATGACAAGACTGGAAAATTTTCCTTCATCGATTTTGCACCAACTGTGCACACATCCACACAATAAGACGAGTTTAGTCCATAATAACCATTTACCACATTGAAAAGTGCTATTCCAGTTGTACCAGGTGTACAAGTAAGTGAATTTCAGAGAACAAATGGCACAATATTGCCATTTGCACTACAAAGATTTGACACTGTGCCATTTTGTTGTGTCAGATACACAGAGTGATAAATTGGAAAAGTGTGGGTATAGTGTTGTTGTGTTCAATATGTCAAAAATTTATTCCGAACAAAGAGCATTCTCGGACAGTATTAATTTGATTTCATTTGAAGAAAACTGCTGCGGTTACTTTGAGAAACTTGTGATGAACATGCTCCATTGCAAGGCATGTGTGAACAATGGTTTTGGTGTTTTCAAAAGTGATGACTTCGATAGTGCAGACAAGGAATGTAGAAAAACACAAAAAAAATATGAAGATGTGGAATTGCAAACATTGTTGGATGAAGATTAATTCACAAACACAAAAACAACTCTACGAGCAATTGGGCATTAGTCAACAAGCTGTTTCCAATTGGCTAAGAGATTGGAAGGATTCAGAAAATCTACTACATCAGTTGATCGACAGGCAAGTAGAAAAGCACAAAAACACGCGTGACATTTTGCTTGCTCAGTACAAAAGAAAGTCGTTTTTGCAGCATGTAGTCACAAGGAATGAAAAGTTGATTTATTTTGAGAAACCCAAGTGCAAAAAATCATAGGTAGACCCAGGCACACCATCCACACGATCGCAAGACCGAATCACTTTGCTAGAAAGGATGATGTTCTATGTTCAGTGGGATCAGGACGTAGTCTACTATGAGCTGTTAAAACCTGCAGAAATGATTAATACTAAATGTTACCAACAACTGACCGATTTGAACCATTCACTGCTTGAAAAAAGCCCAAAATACCGAAAGAGGCAATACAAAAGTAATTTCTCTTCATGACAATGCTCTACTACGGTCTACCATATATGGTAAAAATGGTTCACACCAGGTTAGAAGCACTCAGCTGGCAATTTCTACCCCATGTATCCTACTCACCAGACTGCACACCTAACTATTACCATTTGTTTGCATCAATGGGGCATGCACTTGCTGAGTAGTACTTTGGTTCATATGAAGATATAAAAAAATGGCTTGATGAACGGTTCGCAGCATAAAGGGACTGGCATGGTATATTCACAAATTCTCTGAAAGATGGAAAAAATGTATAACAAGCGATGGAGCATACTTTGAATAACACATTTTTTATCATCTGAATTTAACATGTTTTCTAGGGGGAAAAAATCTGCATTTCATTCTTGTACACCTGGTATATGTTCCAAATAGTGCATCTTCTTGAATGGAGTTCTTAAAAATATATCTACGGCAGGCAAGCAATACTGCAGCATTTGCTATACTGCTTGACTCATCTAGATGAAATGCAAAACAATTCAACTTTATTTTCTTCAAACATTCAATCATTTGCTAAATCATGAATTATATGCGACACTGTATTGTTTTACAAATAAACAAGGTGAATTTGCTTTGCTGCCTTATTTTCAAGCTTGTACTTAGCAATATCTTTTACATATGGTCCAGTTAAGTGTTCTGCTATTGTATGTGCTTGCCCACACCTTGCAATTCTATAACTTACTCGAAATCATTTGAAAGCTGACAGGAAAGAAGAGACACTATACTTTCTATTACCTGCTAATTTTCTTTTAAAATACTCAACAGGTTTATCCTGGTGTGTCTGATGTTTTGTTTCAAGGCCTCGGCAAGAACTCTTGCAGATTAAACATTTAAATTTTGACGCTTCCCCAGTAAAATAAAAACCCATTCGCTGCTGCCATATTTTAATTTTTTCTCACTATGTTCACTAATTTTTTTTCAGTCAGGCGATATGGTAGCTCACTGCAGCTTTTAGTATCATTACTCGTGTTGTTCCGAAATCAAGTGCTGAAATTATAGAATGAACGATTGATTGCTTATCCAGCATTTTGTCGAACTCAATTAAACAACTCATTTTTAACCATCAATCCTTAGTAAAATTAGGCATAATAATTATTAAAAGCTATTTACATGAGAAGAACTTCATTAAACATAGCTACCATAACATACTACTAATTGCAAACTAAATACCACAAGGTTTACAAGTGTCTCTTAATGAGACTCTACTCTCCTAGTTGTGAACAAACATCTAACTCTGCATTCCATCATTACAGTATTATTTTCATGAACCACTGGGGATTTACAAATCACCAGTCAGGTACCAATGGCCTACAGCATCACTATATTCATAAAAATGTGGAACAACTGAACCTCACAAAATTGCATTTTCTGGTCATTCTTGAACAAAACTGGATGAGTTTTGGCCAGCAACTTGCATATGTTTGTGTTGGTCTTATATAATCTAATCCAATTCTTATCCATATTGATACAATAAATGCTTCCTTATGATTAAAACATTTTAAAAAGATGGAATATAACTTTGCATTAACCAGTCCACCAAAGTTTATGAACTGCCAAACCATGTAACAAAAGCCTATATGAAAACATAAATTTGCTGGGAGCTAAATCAACCTTTCCATAATGCTTACCTTAGTTATAAACTAGTGTATATTCTTATGACACATGTTCAGAAAGTAATTAGAATTTTGTTTATAATTTATCTTAGTTAGAATACAACTTTTAACTGCTTTTCCAAACATGCATAAATTTAATATGTATCCAGATAAATATTATATACATTAATTATTATTTTTATCATATTTAAAAGTACTGCAATAAATAAAAACTTTTCTTCTGCATTCAGGATTTTCTCAGTGTAAAAGCATAAGAAAATTACAAAATAAAATTAGCTAAAGAGCATAAAATTCATAATATCTAATCAAATACTAATATATTTTACATCAGAATTATATAGTTTAATAACTTGAATCATGCATTATAAAGTTAATTTAAGTCAGTCAGGAGCTCCTTTGGAATGGCATCACCACATAGCATGAAAACCTCCCAGTTTTTCAGATTTCAAGATTGGCAGCTATGTCCTCACATAATTCTTTAGAAACTTATTTAAGTTGCATAACTTTAAAATTTCATTAAAATTAAAATTTTTCACCAGAATTTAATTGATTAATATAATATTTCCAACATTACATTAACCAATAATGTATCGCCAAAATTGTCTATTGTTTATTGCAAATCCTCCAAAACCATGAATAATTTTATTCACCATATCCATTTAATTAAAAACTGCAGAAGCCAATTAATTTTTAATTGAGTTTAATGACAATATTCTTTAATGTGTGCAAATAGTAAATAACAATCCTTTAACAAATTTTATGCTGCAGTATAATTACCATCAGATATTTGCTAATCACTATACAATAAATGTGATGCATATATTTTAATGGACATTTTAAATACTGCAATTTTTGGTTGTCGCATAAATTTGGATTATTGCACTTTGAAATGTATTGAAATGAGTACCTATTTATTATTTATAATACCTATCTTTTATTACCTAAGCACTGAAAATTATCTTTCAAAGCTGTAATAAATTTGTGCTAAAAATTGGCAAATTCAATTTCAAGAGCTTAACACTTTCAATTAAGGTTCATCAACACTTATATCATCAATTTATAACATAGTTTTATGCCAGGATTAAAATAAAGGAGGATTAAAGATAATTAAGAAGATTGAAATATATCCATATAATTTAATGGAACTGCTTCTTTACTCCATGTCTTTACCAGTGATCGAGTGGTTAAAATAACAGACTACTGAGAGTTTGGCCTGGTTTCAATCCTAAGCAAGTGGTCTAGTTGTATAATTTGTTTAAAAGTTTTTCACTATGTGTAATGGGAATAGGAGTTATGCTTGTCTTGTCCTCCATGAAGGCATCCCTCTCTTAGGTACGTAGTCCTCATGTACTTTGCTATATCCAGATAATCTAATCTTGTCTTTTCAGCATTTGACTCATATTTTAGACATATTGTTAAAATGTCTGTATTGGGTTTTATCTGGTAAAACATGGGCCAAAGAAACATTGACAGACTGCTCAGACACTCTAATTGATTAAAAAAAAATTCATTCAAATTAACAATATAATATAATTCACCCATATGCTCCCACTACTTTTTTTTATAAACACTAGTGGTTTCAAGATGAAGCAAGTTATTTTGCAGTGGGTTTATCTGACAGTTTTCATTGATAAGATTATAATGATTATTTCCAAAATTGTTTCTGCAATGATAACTTGATATATGTTTATTTTACTGCTCATAAATTATTTAAGTATTAGAATCTTCAGATATTCAAATACTTTTCATAATATTCTAAATATATGTTATATCTAATGCAAATAAGTTTATTCTTAAATATGATACTAATCGTTTGAATCAAAAGTATTTTTATTTTAAAGCATTCCAAAATTGTTTCTGCAATGATAACTTGATATATGTTTATTTTACTGCTCATAAATTATTTAAGTATTAGAATCTTCAGATATTCAAATACTTTTCATAATATTCTAAATATATGTTATATCTAATGCAAATAAGTTTATTCTTAAATATGATACTAGTCGTTTGAATCAAAAGTATTTTTATTTTAAAGCAAATTTATTTCTTAAACTTTTCTTTTCTCTTCTCTTTTAAAACAGAAGTTCCAGCTGCACCAACTTGCATAGATAGTCCACAATTTAACAACTGTGAATTAATTGTGAAAAGCAAGTATTGCAACAACAAGATTTATGGACAATACTGCTGTGCCTCGTGTCTGAAAGCTGGACAGTTACAAAATATACCTGCACAGTGATTGCTTCATTCATAAAAAAAAAACATCATTTCTTCAAGCTCACCTCATAGTTTTATTCCTATAATGCTCTTATCATGCACAAATATGCTAACTCATCAGAAACAAAATAATTAGCAGTCAAAGAGCATTTCCTCACTGAGACATACTACAATGTTTTAATAGAACTTGTATTAATGAATTTTTTTTATTGTGTATAAAGCTCAAGTTATCAAAGAAAATAATTCTACTGTATATTTAATTGCTCACAAAGGGTTCCCACTCAACAAATATACACTTTTTTCAAAAAGTCAAGGAAGTTTTTTGAAAGAAGATTTATCTATTTCAATGAGCAATCAGTTTTAAAAGAAAGCTGTGGTTTCTTCTCCATGTAAAGTGAGCTATCCCTTTATTTAGAAATGCTATTGCTCTCCAAAAATAAATAATGTACTTAATACATTATACTAATCAAATATTTTTTCAGTTCAATGTAATTTTTAATTCTTTAGTTTCATATATCATACTAGTCATTTATTATGAATAATATATTGTTGTAAATTTCTTTTGCAGAATGAACATTTTTCTTATTTTCCAGAACATTTACAGAGTCATTGATATTTTTTTTAAAATATTACCACCTTTTATAATGATTTAGATACATATTTTTCTGTATAGATTTCTTTCATTTGCTTTACGATAATAAGTCAGATTAAATTTTTATTATGCTCTTATTTGTTGCACTGTATCTTGCAGTAAACGCATTCAGTTATTTAATTTAATAACTAAGTCTATTTTGGTTAGGGAAATTTATCTATTTTGGTCATGAAAATTAAAAGCTGAATTTCAGTGGGAACTCCATCATCCATTATATACTGTGCACAAACATCACAGCTGAAATGTTTCTGAAGCCGCAATAAGCCTTCATTACTATGTTAATATTTAGTATTCACTGCATAACTTATTTTCACATTACTTATAATATAAAATACTGTAATTAGTTGTCTTTAGAATGCTCCACCATCATATAAAAATAAAATTTTAAACTAATTTTCTTTAAATTATAAGTACAAAATGAGAAAATATTTTTGATACTAAACAATGAAATTATACTTGTGACATTGACTTAATACATATATTTTGTCTATGCAGTTTATTAAAGTATTTTTCTACAGAAATATTCAAGTACAAGCATTTGTGTGAAATATGTGCTAGTCTTAAAATATGTTGTACATTGTTCTGTAAAATTTTATGTATTTATGTGAAAAACTTTTCTTAATAAACTCATTAAAACATAAGTTATTTTCCGTGATGCTACTTTTATATTGTACTATTAACTAAAATGATGATTCATGCACAATTCGGTATGCTTTTGATACTTGAATATGTACACTTGGGGCAAAGTTAATCAAAAAATACTGCAGTCAATTTACTCCTACTTTAGATTACTTTGTATTGAACACGGTTTTAGAAAGCATCAACTACATTTGATGTCTCAGTGTTTTTTGTTGTTTTACTTATTTTGGCTTAAACTGGCTTGATGACTTGTATCATAAATACTGGTGATACAGAAGTTTGATTTCATGTGGAACAGCTTAAAATTCGGTATTTCATTCGTATAGCTACCAACCAGAAAGCTGATTATGTTAAGTGGGTAAAAGCAGAGGCTTAATCATTGTGAAAAATAGCTGTAAGAAGCCATACAACTTTACCACTATTTTAGACTATAACAGAAAGTAGCTGATGTGCTACAAACTGCACTGCTACAGTGAAAGTGAAGTCAACATTATCAGGCAATCGAATACGAGAAAGGAGATTCACTGTACAGCAGGGATGTCAAACTCATAGGTACACTTGGGCCAAACAAACAAGGTTTAACTTTAGGCGGGCCGCAAAAAATACAATTTTTCGTTTAATTTTACTACCACTTGGTTTTGATATAGACATACTGAATACAAAGGGCTGGAATAAACACGGTTAACATTAAAAAGTTAACAAAAATTTATTCTTTTCACAAGAGATAAATCAAAATGCTGAAATATTTCTTCAAAAATATTCTAACAATATCACAAAATGTCAAACGTTTTAGCAAAAATCAATTCAAAACAGAAGAAACTAATTCTATCTCACAGCGAAATCACTACAAATCAATCACAGCATTAAGAAAACAAACAGTTCGCTAGAACTACAGCTACTGCTGAGATGAGTTGTTTGTTCCTGGCTTTATAAGCTTTATAATTAATTTCTCGAATATACTGGAAACATCTATAAATATCTGGGATTTTGTGGATGGCAACAGCAATTATGAGATATTATTTATTAGGTATTAAATGCACGCACTGTTCTATTTTTAACCTTCCAACGCAGCTGTCTTTTCAAAAATCGTCTGCGTTGCTAAGGCAACATGAAGCAACAAATCTAATTACAATTCTAAATAAAAAAAACTAAATAAATAAAAAAAAACTAATCCGTAACAATATGAATAAAGTAATAATTAATAATAAAGCAAAGTGCATGCACATGCATGCACAATAAATATCGTACACAAAACTATGATTGGAAAACTGAGACCATGAGTTCGGCTATCGGGGGGATGCGTACAAGTTCTGAGTGCACGTGTCCCCCAAAAGCCGAAGGTAGCTGAACGCAAGCTACTTACACGCATTTGTAATTTAAGTAGTGTGTGTCAGCTCGCTGTGAGTAATCTAACAACACTGAATAAATTATCGTTAATTACTTAGCAGTAAACATTTCATTTTTTTCTTCGTCGATATGTTATTTTATTATTACATATTATTATTTGCCGATATATTGGCTGGGCCGCAAAAATATTTGTTGTGGGCCGCGAGTTTGACATCCTTGCTGTATAGTAATATACATGAATCTGTAGTTAAGCGGACAATGTAACAAAGGGATACAGAGAAAGATTTCCAAAGCCATTTTAATTTTGAACGAATATCTGAATGAATTTGGGAAAGATGACTGGGCCTACAGTTTAAATAAAATGTAAATGTAAAAAACAATAATCAAAAAGAAAAGTTAGAGATGTGATAATTTTAGACTGAATGTTTTCAGCTAAAGATAACATGTTAAACAGCACTGCTCATTAATTACTACTAATTTCATTTACAATTTTGAAAAAGGCATTTTATCCAGCAAATCTTTGCATTATAGGTTCTATGTATTTAAAAGAACACCAGAAATTCTGATTATTATCTGAAATTAGGATTTACTCTTACAGCTAGTAGGTAGAATATTCAACTGAAGTTTTTTTTATTCTAGGGAATTATCAGGAGATATGATTTCGCTAGTTCTACCTTGCTTTCCATGCAAGCTGAGACTTGAGGTATGTGGTTTTAGAGCCTGTAAATAACTATGCACATTACAATTTGCTTCACATTTTCAATTGCATGAGCTGCACTAAAAATGATAACATAGAAGCGTAGGTTTTTTTCATCTGGTAAGTTAAATTTTTTGAACAGAAAATTCTTTCACAAAAAGAGCTTATACTGTATTGTTCTTGTTAGTTAGAACTTAAATAACAGTTTTGATAAGCCATCTGTACTTAGCATTGATTATGCAATGTTCAACACGTTTCTCTTGAAATAGAGCACTAAATTTTTTATAGTCATCTTCTGTGAGAGATGATATCTTCAGCTATTCATCATTCAGTTTGCCATGACAAAATGATTAAATAATTTAGGAAATCCTAATGTGTTAACTAAAGCTTAGGGAGATCAAATATGAATCAATGAGAGAAGACTGCTGTTGTACAAAGTCAGGAGAAAAGTACAAAGTCCAAGAGCTTCAAATTTACTAATATTAACAAAACTCCAACTTGTTTCATCAACTTTTAAACCATTTTAGTAGCTAACTGTAAACCATCACTGTCCACATTGCTGTTGTACAAAGTCCAAGAGCTTCAAATTTACTAATATTAACAAAACTCCAACTTGCAAAGGAGGTGCAAAGTTAATACGCAAAATTACATCCTGATAAAATAAAATCCACAGATACAATCATGCCTCAGAAACTGATGCACTAAAAAACATTTTTTTTAAATCAAGGGAATATCCACATGCTTGGGCAAGCATTACCATTGTGTAAAACCGAGAACTATAGCCATATATACTTGTATGTAGTTGGTGTATTCGCATTCAGCAAACATGAATCTTTATTTTTCAGATTTAATAAAGTACTAATTAATAAAAATTGACATATTTAAAATTAAATGCACTTCTAATTTAAATCTCTTACTTCATTCTTGTAGCTGATATAAATTGCAATGCATTTTATTAATACATTCAACAGGTAAGTTTTATGACCATTTGCAGATAGTTAAAAATGTGTAATGATTTATGTTACATAATTAATATGGAATCTTTTTTATTTTTAGCCCAAACAGGCATTAGCTTAGAAGGGCTGTAAGTCTCAAAACAGCATTTTGTGCTGAATCAGTTAAATGTGATGTATAACTTTTCAAATTGTTGCCACCAAATATTATTGCCCTGTGTTATATTTATTGAAACTAAATAATGAAGAATCTGCATGAAGGCAAGTATGTTTCTAGCACAGTGAAAAACCTACAATACCTTGAGCCATCAAGTTTTGAATACCGCAGTCCTCCACCCGAACATAGGCACCTAGAAGCCCAAATATGGAATTTTTTTTATTGTCCACTTTATATATTGTAAAACTCTAATGAATTTTTTATTTTAAAACTTAACGATTTCAAAACGAGCAGTGGCTAATGAATTTTTTATTTTAAAACTTAACGATTTCAAAACAAGCAGTGGCAACACTGTAGGGAACAGAACAAAACATTTTTATCTTCAGTGTACGAGACTGTCTATGGAAAATTCTAAAGATAGACTACTTTTAAATGTTTTTAGACCAAATGCTCTCGAAATGTGTATGTGTTTGTCAATGGGAAAAAAATCTGAAACCTTTGAGAATTAATTTTATTTTTTTATTATTAAGACAGTGTGACAGACGTGTTTTTCCCCCAATGCATGCCAGTTCCAATTCAAACAGGAAACTTAAAATAATGCTTAATGTTTACTTTGCATAGGACACTATCCCAAATTAAAGTATTTTACAAGACCAACTACAGTTCCATCACTTATTGCATTAGCTATGTCATATGATGATTTCCTCTATTATTAACCTTCTGACTAATAGTCAGAACTCCTTTTTGTTGTAGGATATATGAAAAACAGTCTTTTACAATAACGGAGAAGTAGGTATTTAGGGAGAATGCCCACACTAACCCCTTATATGAATTATCCTATTATCAAAGAAATTTCAGAAACAGCAATAAGTGAAGAAAAGCATTTGCACTTTTTACTTTTTTCTGAAAAGAGCTCGGACACTTTCTTCCAAAGGCTTAATATATACGGAGAACAGTTATACAAATTAAATACAAATCAAGAATCGCTTTTTAACTTTTTAATGCCTTACGTATAAAAACAGGGCATTGTTTGATCTGCAAAATTACACAGTGTAAGATATTATAGATTTATTTTAAATTATTTTTTCACATATTACAGACTTAATACATTATTTTAGATAAATTTTCCATCAACAGTTTAAAATTTTTTCAGTCTAGTACGTCTGCCACTGATTCCATATGCCAAATAGTAGAAAACCCAAAACTAAGAGTGTGAAAAGAATTATCAACTGCATATACAGTCAAAAGTCTTTAATCCGGACTCGTCGGGACTTCGGTGATTCTGGATTATAGATTATCAGTTTAAATCTGGTAAGATGGCATGCAGAAATTATAAAATTAAAAATATGAACTGTAATTTATGAAATATAGAACAATTATGATCTAAAGGGTATCAAAATTTACAAAAAAAAAGAACTTAATATTTATTTGTTTCCTTTATTAAACATTTCTTTTAACGCGCACATGCAAAAAGCATACATTTCACCATAGTCGAAATTAGAAAATTGCAACCAGAAAACTATTTGATGTGTATTCGTGATATTTATAATGAATTTGATTTAAATCATATCAAAAGACCATAGTACATCTAAGATGAAATACTACATTTAGTAATGAACTATAAGCTGAATAAAATAAAACCATCTGCCCTGAAGATAAAGATAGTGCTGGCAGATTAACTTCCAGTTCGATTGCGCACCGCGATGTTCCCCTCCCCTGCAGAGCAGCGTGAAATTGATAAACACATTTAGGAATGATTAGGAGAAACAAAGGATATGCCTTTATCCATTTTTTGCAGCAATTTCACTTTTTGTTTGATGGACATCGAAACATGCTTTCGCTTTGTAGATCCTTAGGCAGTATCCAGCATCGGAAATTCTACTTAACATAATCAAAAGTTCAAGCTAACTTTTATGAAATTGCTCTAACAGTCTGCAAAAAATAATAAGCCGGATTGAATTCGAAGATTAAGGAACATCACAATCTGCAACAATAAGTGAAATAGATAATTAGATAATTTTAGCTTAGCTTATACAGTCCGTTATACATTTAACGTGCATGCATGAACGCATTATGCATTGATGCATGTGCAGAAAGTTTGTAGCTTTGAGGTCCGGATTAACGACTTTTGACTGTATATATATTCCTTCAGAACAATTTTTTTTTTTGGGGGGGGGGAAGAAAGCCTTCAAATTTTACATTACGCACAATTTTATGTGTTACCTTTATTTAATAAATATTGTGTTCCATAAATAACTTAAACCATAAAATTCAATTCAACAGCAATATCGCAAAATAATTTTTAAATGAGCACAGCTTTAGAATTTCCGATACAAAGTCTCGCATGCTAGAGATAAAAATGTTTTTCTCTGTACAGTATCGCCATTGCTTCTTTTGAAATTGCTGAGTCTGTTAATAAAAAATTCGTTAAGTTTTACAAAACATGAAATAGATAATAAAACAAATCCCATTCCAAATTTGGGTTTCATTTAATTTCTTTAAATATAATAAAGGGCTCTAATATTTGGTGGCAACAATTTGAAAAGCGACATCTATTAGAGAAATAACGCAAAATGCCAAAATGAAATTAATAGTCCTTCTGGGCTATAGCAAAATAACGCAAAATGCCAAAACGAAATAAATAATGCTTCTGGGCTTTTTTTTAAAAAAAAAGTAAAGGCTCTGCAAGATTCTTCAAAATTAAAATATTCAATAATGGGTTTAGAAGATGGCAAAACAAATTATATTTACGGAAATGTTCAACAAAAAAAATTGCGGATACAGGGTGAAACCTATTAAAAAGAATATAATAAAATACTGAATTGCATTATATATTCATTAAATTCTTGCAAGTATGAATTTGAATGTATTTAAATAACTGCTTATAACTGTCATGTAGCAACAAATGCATCCCATTAATAGCATATTTGCAATTTAGGACATCTGAACAATATAGTTATTCTTTTTAACATAAAATATTCCAACCGATGTGAACAGAAAATGTACTCGACACCAAACATACTTAATATCATACAGTTTATAACATTTAATATAGTTTTTTCTTAATTAATTTCATGTTTTATACATATATAAAATAATTCTTAAAATACATCACTTTTACAAAATCTATTTCAAAGTTACTAGAGCATCTTATAATCAATTAAACCTGTCAGAATTATAAAATAACTACTTCAAAAAGCCAAGATTTGTTTAAGATTTTAATTTTTAGCATTTACAAAATATTTCAGGACAATGTTTTCTTCATTCCCTTCATGAAGCATAGAAGTTTTTTGTGCATTATATATGAATATAAATTAATATGAGACCAATAAAATCTAATGTTTGAATACTGAATCTAAGAAAAAATATTTAAAACTTCTAGGTGGCAAAGACAATATTCAAAAGATGAAACCATAGATGGATGTAAAAAACTTGGAATTTCTCCTCTAAAGTAATAGTAAAATAAGCCAGAAATAAAGCAGATCTGACAAGAAGGCTAATTCTGAAATAGTGTACGAGTAAAGTCTATGTAGTCATAAGCGCCAGGAATCGTTCGGCCACTTTTATCTTCGTAAGGTTTCATCCTAGATAAGCAATAATCTGCCATTTCTTTCGTAAGATTCTGAAAAAGGAAATTAAACATTAATTTTTCTTATTTCACTCTTATAATCACTTTTCTTCAAAATTCATAGCCGAAATCATTTAAATTTTCTTAAAATAATAAGATAGTTTTTAAGTTGAATTTCAGCAATACTATATTAACTGAAGATAAATATCAAAATTTTAAAAAATTATATATTTTCACTAACTTTTAAAAAGTTTAACAAAGAATTTACATAAATTTATAATTTAATATTTCTAAAATTTAGTAAAAATAAAATAATAAATTAAAATTAACAATTAAAATAATTAATATAGTAACTCTGAAGGGACTTACAGCATAAAGCTCTTCGGCCGTAACATAAGGTCTTTCACCGGATGTTATTGCTCTGAAAGCATTTTCAACCTCTTCGCTGGAACGAACATTTTCTGTTTCTCGTGATATCATAAAAGCCATGTACTCTTGCAGAGATACGTATCCGTCACGATTTGGATCGACTACATTTAGGATTGCTTCGAATTCGGGATCAGGCTGACCTTCTTCTACCATAGGCAAATCATAACCCAAAGCTCGTAGACAACTTTTGAATTGGAAGTGATTGAGGCGTCCAGACTTCTCCTTATCAAAGTGTCTAGAATTGCACACATATCATCAGTTTCAAACACATAGAGGCATATATATATATATAAACTTAAAGCATCTAAAGTTAAAATTAAACTGAAATCAAAACAATGCAATTCCCCAACAATATTAATAATTGCAACCGTGGATAAGAGGTTTAACATTGTATCTCAGCAAATCAAAAGTAAAATAAAAATTCATCAGTAGAATAAACCCAAAAAATAAAAATGTGAAAAGAAAAAAAATACATACATATATATATAATATAATTAATATATATATATATATATATATATATATATATAGTCAATATCCTTTTCCTGAAACCCTAATTCAGAACTCATCAGGGGAAAATGAGTTAAAGTTTTATAAAAGTCGATTAATATGTTTTGAATAGATGTTTTATTCATCTGATTCATTTGAGACCTTCAATTAAATATGCACTTAAGACATTAAAATTCACTTAAAACTGAAAGGTCAAATCTTAAATGCATCTAGAATTTACATATATATGTAATATTTTAATTGCATAGGAGGAATCCAGTACTTTTAATACTTCAGGGCCAAGAACGGATATTCTGATGCGCTGCAGCTTGAAGTCTACATAGTTAGATGGATACGTAAACCACAAACTTAGAGATGTAGCAATTTCATAATATAATTTTATTCTATTATAAGTCACATCAGATCATTTTTGTACACAAGGAATTTATTCAATCATATTTAAATATGATAATTTTCATGTACACTGATTTTAAAAGTACAACATAAGCATTTTAGACAGGACAGCCATAAGCGGTGCAGAGTTGTTTGCAAGGTAGTATCACTTCAAAATGAAACTATACACAAGAATCATATAAAACTTTCATAAAAAAAAAATTATACATGGATGCATTTATGCATGAATGCAATTTTCTTATTTTTTCAAAGGAGAAGCAGTTCTGAATTATTACATATAAGCAGAAGGGGAAAACCACATACTTAAACATCATGCTAAACTCTTTCAAGGCATCTTCAGAAACACCACTCTGGTTTCTAAAAAGGGGGAAAAAAAAAAGAACACATTAGAAATTAAGTTACATTTTTAAGTTTATGAAAAATTTTAATATGAAAGTGCTGTTTGTTGGAAACAATTATCTACCCTGTGTAACAGACTGTTGACACTGATAACACACTGTAACACACTGTTGACATTAGATAATTTTAGCTTAGCTTATACAGTATTAGCTTTATAATTTTTTACGAAAAATCTAGTTTTCTGTACAAATAAGCAATTTCTACCCTTTTTACAAAATTAACTCTATAATTATAAACATAGCTGCATATTTTTGTTACACACAATGCCAAATACCTTGAGATAGGTATACAATAATATTTTGTACTTCGAAAATTTAATTCTGAATCCTTTCCAATCTTCTCATAATTTCAATTGATCTTTTGCATCAATTTTACTTTCACCACATATTTTCAAACATAAGTTGAATTTTCTCTTTCTTTTATTTGCCTCCCCCCATTTTTAAACCATCTAAAAATGTTTTTTTTTTTTTTTTCCATTCACCAATGGCATATAACACAAGCCTCTAAATATGGTTATTTGCAAAATTTTCATTACTATCCATTTTTCAAACTATTGGTGCAAGGAATAAGTGCATAATTATACTGCTACATTTTCAAATTTCTATCAATAAGCAATAAAATTACGACAATAAGACAGCATCAAATTTCTAAAATGAATACGTTTTCCCATATTTTCATTAAATTACACAATACTCAGTATTATAAGGAATATTTATTCGAGATCAATAAAGGATTTTTTTTTTCATTCGCACACACATACATCATAAATTCTAATATCAGGAATTTTCATGTCTTCTTGACCCATGTCAGGAGATACTTTTTATTAAAATAGCTTATCAAATTCCACATACTAGTGATATTCTGGAAGATATTTTTATTTAAGCAGCAATTTCCTTCCCCCTCCCCAAATAAATATAAACATAAAATATTCATTTATAGTTAGAGTAGATGCTGCTTAACATGATCAATGGTGAATGTTATTTTTTGGATATTGCTACCAAATTGCCGAAATCCTCCCCATTTTGGTGATGAAAACATAGAAAGACATTGCTTATCATGATTAGTTAATATTATAAAATTATATTATTTATTACATATTATTATAAAATTATAGAATAAATCACCAAATGAGGTTAAAATTTCGATTCTAGTAAACCTTTGAAATTAGGCAAAAAGAGCAATCTTAGATTGGCATAGATTACATCAAAAACAATTCTGCAGAATTTTTCTTTCTCCCATGCTCCTTGGGGGCAGGGGACTTTCCTGAAAATATCTACACAAACTAAGGTTGCTTTTTTTGCCTAATTTTAAATTTAACATTAGCATGTTCTTTTCTGATGAATAACAGACACCCTCCAACTATGAAGTTCAGGGGTACAGCATTATTAAAATAACTTGCAGAAGCATTATAAATAATTCACAAAAGAACTTCTGCATTAAAGATATTATGAATAGTTCATGTTTAAATTAAATTAGTTAAATTCCATTGCTATTCTGAAAAAATTTTTTTCCCTCATCGGTTAATATTATCAAAATAGCCATGGACAAACGTGATCACATTAAAGGATGCATAGAGCACCATGTTGCATCAAGATTTCGAGGATAAAATTATGATTAATATTATATCTCTAAACAAAAATATAATTAAAATTCAGGCAAAAACCTACACAAGAAGTTAAGATTGTGCTTAGACCATTTAACTTACCTTGCTTGTATTTGTTGCTCTAGATTATGCTGCATTCTCATACCCAGTTGGTCCAGCTGATCCCACTGTTGCGCTAAGCCAACAGTGCTGTGTTCTGTATATCGATTATCAAGGATAAGATGTTCCTCTAATAAAGCCCCAAGGTCTTCAATTTGCTTAAGTTCTGTTCTTTTCGCTCTAACTTCTGCAGCTTTCCTCTATAACAAATAAAAATTATAAATCCATATTTTCTTTTATTATTAAGTTTGCTTAACTAAAAACACAATAAAAATCCTATTAAGAGGAAGAAATAGCTGATGGAAAATAAAAAGTGACTGACAGTGCATAAATCACACATGCAGAGCTAAAAGTGGCCTTTTGGGCAACTATTTCATTCAGGAATATTCTATTTTATTATCTTCTTTAACATTCTGACAGCCAAATCTGTGAACAGCATGTTCACTATCTATACTTCATATACACAGGCATAGGTACCGTAATTTCCGGAAGAAAGGCCGCGTAAACGCCACACTCGAGAAAAATGGCGGGAAAAAACTTAAAATTACACAGAAACGCTGCATCAGCGTAAGCGCCGCAATAGATTAAATTGCGCGTGACATCATCGTGGGCCGTATAGATGCAAAAACTCAACCTAAGTCCTGATATATGACATACCAGTTAAGAAAAATGCATGAAATGAAATCATAACTCAAAAATAAATTAAAGGTAAGAAATGTATAGCTTCTGTGCCGTTTAGAGACATTTTCAAAAATTTTCCGCTCCCTAATTAAAAACTATCCAACAAGTACTTGTACCCAAACTGATGGGATCTGTATTTGGCAGAATGCCAAGAAAAATCCATTCATGCTGAAGGGGAAATACGTCAGAGTACATTATTGCGAGGCAGGTGGAGTCGTGTCCGCCTTTGAAAAAAATTGCAGAAAAGGCAGGGGTGGGGAGAGGATGGGTCCTGGAAGATTCATGGAATGGCAGAGGAGAGAGAGACTATTTAAACTGATGAGAATGTTGATTTGAAAGGGGGAAGAATGTTATTGTTCTAAGATCTCGTTTAGGGTGAATAAGGCATGTAGGTCCGTTCAAGGGAAAGAATGTAAACAAAATAACGTTCGCAAAAAGCAACTGAGTGGTCTTTTGTGTGGGAACAGCACCAGTCTATGCACAATGACAAGGCCATCCAAACAATGTATAATGACCATCATAGGAAATATTTTATTTTTAGGGCACCTAAACGCCGCATGGGTAGAAATGCCGCACCCGCTGAAAATTTAAGTTTTAAACATGTAAACGCCGCGGCGTTTCTTCCGGAAATTACGGTACTTAATTAATTAAATACATCTTATGGCATAGGTACTTAAATTTTGCGGTAAAATAATGTGATGACTGCTATTTCTCCAACAAAAGCTTGCTGTTAGGTTAACTTTCACATGACAAAAAAGTCGAGGGAAAAAATGACGAGGTGAAAACTACAATAAATTAGCTATCAGATAGCATATATTATGCAAAAGGTTTGAAAAAACACTTCTTCCTCATAAGTTGTTTTGAAGTGAATGTCAACTGCACAAAAGAATGATGAAGGAGGTATAACCAAGTTCTGAACTATTAATTACCCCCTGGTCATCTTTAATAGCTACATGTCTTATGAAACATGCCTTTGAAAGTTTTCAAATTTCTGAAACAACTCTATACATATAAAACACTACTTTATGTGAATATTATAGCAACAAACCAAATGCCAATTCATGGAAATGTTGGTCTAACTCACCCACCCCCATGGTGTTTTATGGCCTTGAAACTGGTACTAAATGACATATGAATTTTTAATGCCCATATTTTTTAAACCAAAATTCAAGCTTTCAGTCACGTAAGTACTGGGCCATATTACCTCAAATATTAAAGAAATATGGAACAACGCTACTGTGACTTCATGTAAATTTGTGTCCATTATGCATTTTTCTCTTATAAAAACTCTTATTAAAAAATTATTACAACAAAGGAGTCATAAAATGCTAAAAACCAATTTACTGCTACTATTTGTTCATTATGCATCTTATCAGAATAACTTCCCTCATATTATGTAACTATTTATTCACCCACACCATCAAAATTATATTAAATTTGTAAATATATAAAACATCAACAATTCACAACATAAGAATGCATTAATCCTAAAAAAATAATAAAATTATATGTATAAAAGCACAAACCTTAGTAGCTTCTAATTGTGCTTCTAATGAGCCAGTACCTTCTAACATTGATGATCTGGAAATATGAATCAAATCAATAAAAACAGCACTTAAATTTTAAAAAAAAATCTGCAAAGCAAGGATTTCATTGAATTATAATGCTATCATGTATTGCAAATATCATTAAAGAACTTCTCACTAAATACAGAACTTTGTCAGGAAATTATTTAATTTTTTGTCATTTTTACATCATTTTATGTCTAATGCAGTATACTAAAAGTTAATTTATTACGCAGGATAACTGAAACAACAGCTTTAGATTTATTTCCTTTAATACTGATCCCATATTTGTACTTTCAATTCCAGATTCTCAAAATATGTAAGATAAAAACAATTTCAAAATTGCATCCATGAGGATTCAATAAAAATTTTTCATACGACCTCTGTAAAGGAAAACATCCAAACAGTAAAATGCTCTATTAAGCTTGAATTAGTTAAAAATTCCCTATCCTAAATACAAAATTCATAAATGTCAATAATTAACAACTTCAAGCGGCCAGCTACAGAATTAATAGTAATTTAAAGAGATACCATTAATTTATACAGCAAGCAATGTTTCTTTTACAGTTTCATTTTAAATTTGATCAAAGACACAGATTTTACTCAATATTTCTAAGAACTTTGCACATAATGATATGGAACTTTTTGTATTTAACTTATTAAATACATATGAATATTGATTAGTATACTATTAACTGGATCTTACTTAATCAAAACTAAAAAGATTTTGCACTTGCAGAACACTCTCATTTCTCATAGTTGCAACTGCTTTTATAAAATTTTCTAGAATCTTTGTTTATAACAATACATATTTAAGATTAATATTTAAAAAATTCATTCTACAATGACCTTTTATGAACACTCTGTATAAACTTTCTTAAAACCCTCATTAGCATACTTTTAAATTATTATTTAAGAATGAGAGAAAATACCACAGAGAAGATTTTAAGTTTTTATTACATTTAAATACAACATTTTGAATACGTTTTAAAGTCTTAATAAACTTTAAATTAAATTTTATCATTTATTTAAACAGATTATTTATCAAATAATTTTCAAAACACATGTGACAGACGGCAATTCTTCATTTAATACCTTGTTTTTCATATGTTAGCCATTATATTATTAAAATAACCACAAGTTCCCTACTGAGAAACTAAAGCATAAATAACCACCTTTTCTTCTTATGGTGTTTGAAGATGATAAGTGTTGCAAATGAATCTTCAGAAATTTGTAGATCTGTGTCCACAAAAAAAAAAAAAAAAAGTTACCCGGCCTTATGTTTGAAACCATCAGTCTTCAATGTACTCAAAGTTCAGGTCCAAAAAGGTTTTAAATCATGCAAAGATTGATTCTTTGCCATTTTTTTTAATTTAAAGAAATCAATTTTGTAAAAATTATGAAATGTAACATTTTACATGTTACACCCATAATTTATATTTAGATTTAATATATAATTCATATTTAATCATATTTATATTTAGAAAAGTTTTTATTATAATAAAAAAACTACAAATAGTGTGACTCCAATAAGACAAAAACGAACTCATGAGGACTCATTCATTTTAACAGATGGCTCCATAAAGGATTTTCTTAGGATCTTCTAAATTACCAGTATTCAGTGATCTTATCATTCAGGCAATAGCAGGCTGTTACCGACCGAAGGAAATAATCAAGATTACAGAAACCGAAGGAAGAAAAACTTTACCTAAATATTAACTTATAAAATGTATAAAAAATGGTTACATTTTTGCAATAAATAACAAAAAAGTTGATAGATTTGGTATTTCTTAAATCTGCAAATACAAATATTTTCAACAAAATACAGTTTATTAACAAGCACATTGTTTAAAGATCCGAGCATTAAGAAAAATATACATACCCATCCAAGAGCCACATTCTTCATGAAAGAGAAAAGAAAAGAAAAAAATTAGTATAACTTAGAATAGCTATTAAATACAATATACATACATTTTCACATAAAATAAAAAGAAATAAAAAATGCAACAGAAAAAAAAGCTAGTGTTTTCATCTGAGTTAAGAATTATTACATGAGTTTATAATAATAAAACTGTGCATAAGTCTCCTAATGCAATCAACGAGAATAAGTTGAATTAGAATAAAAATGTGAAAGCAAAACAAATGTAACAAATATTTAATTTTGCTGCATATTTTTTTTTTTTAAATGCTCTGAAACCATATAATGACACTAACAATAACGATTCTTCATTTGCTTACATCAAATAACTTTATATTCAATTTAATAATTCTTTCAAAATCTACAACAAACTATTCTTCATTTGCACATCAAATAACTTTTTATTCAATTAAACAATTCTTTCAAAATCTATATTTAACAAACTCAATGTCAACTGAGTTTTTATAAAATATATTATCAAGAAGAAAAATGGGTCCCTTTTTCTTCCATAAAAATATATTATTATCCATAAGCACCTGGATGAAGTGCATTAATTTATTATTAATGTATTTTACTATTTTAAAGAAAAACTTTAAAAATTTTATACCATAAATTGTAAAAAAGATTTTTCATCAGTATGTTAAATAATCAATATTAAACCACTGTAACTCCTGTTTTATGTTAATGCAATAAATTTAATTTTGTCCTAATTATATAACCTTGATGTAGAAAATAAATTATTAAAAGATTCTTTGAATTATTAAAAATTTTAAAACGTAATCACTTATAGACTGTGATAAGACGCAACATGTTACTAGCGTCTAAATCGATACAAATAAATTATGACATATCAAACTAAGTTACAAAATTTACCTTGTGTCAGTTAGCCACTGGTGGAAGGCATTGGCATGTTTAGCAAATTCAACTCGCAATCTGTCGTTTTCTTCTTGCCTGTGTGCTTCTTTTGCTAGTTCAACATCTCGTTCCTAATAATTTAAAAAAGAATATATATATATGTGAGAAAAATATTTCCCTTTCATTACATCTAACACATGAACATATAATTAGTTTTCTTATGGTATGCTATTAATAACTAAAATCTAGCGCTTTCAAAAGACATAAAATTATATTAAGTAGCACAAATTTGGGAAATAAAAAATAAATTTAGATATCCCATCACAAGAAGAGTGAATTATATTGCCTATACAGTTTCGTAAACTACTGCTGGACTTCTTAAACTTTCTTTTCACTCGCAATCCCTTTTTATCACAGATTTTTTTTGCAACCTCAGGACCCCATAATATTTACAAAAATTCTGTGGGACCCCACAAGCATTGTGCAAATCCGACACACATGTGAGTGAAATTTTTTCACTTGTACTGTAATATACTATTGCAGTTTTAGGTCATTAACTTTAATTTCTAATTTTAAAACATAGAACAATGTGAGAATTTTAAATGAGTAACAGACGAAATGACTACGTCACATGCAAAGCAAGTAAAATGAACGTTTATATTATAAAAAGAATGTGTCAAAATATTTTCGTTTTTTCTTTATCTATTTTCAGATACACTGTGTAAAAATATTTTGTAGTTGTAAAATTATTATAATAAGTTAAAGAAATATCAGAACTGCGAAAATTTTTGCCAACTACCTGCTGCAGGTTCGCGACCTCAAGGGCGCTGCGACCCACAGTTTAATAAACACTGAACTAGTGGAAACATATCAAATTCTTTCTTAAATTCAAACACTGAGAAAATAAAAATATGAAACTATGTTAACAATAAATTCATAATACCCTATTCAGATTTAGTTCAAAGACTACTTAGAAATGCAAAAAAAGAAGTGTATAGCCAAAGAACTGACTAAACACAGTCTTCCACATAAAAGCAAACATTTTATCTTCAAACTAAAAAAAAGTTCAAAATTTTTTTATCATATGGCTACTATATAAAAATACGATCAGAAATATAAAAGCAGTGAGCTTCAGAAAAAGAAATTTTTATATTTTTTCTCTTAAATTAAACTAGCGGGCAAGCCCGCCAGCTGAGCGGGCTGAAGCCCGCTTTTCATTGTTCTTTTTTGAAAGAGTTCGCATATTAAAATTCGCAGTTTTCGAAAGTTGAACCGATCTACCAGTGTCCAGCGATTTTAACTGGTTTATTCCAGTATGCATCCATAAGGTACTGCACACAAATTAAATAACACTTTTATATTTGCAATAGCTAACTTCATTTAATAATAATTACAATTTTTCTTACCAAAAAAATTCTCTACATTATGTAAATACAAAAAATTTGATAAATTAATAAATGCAAAACATTTACATATCAAAGCAACATAACAGACACTCACTAAATAGATCAATACTTTTCAAACAAAGTAAGCAAACTTAAAAGATCAAATCAACAAGAATTTTAATTCTCACTTGTATTATTTTCTGAAGATTACGCCATGTATCTTCTAAAGCTTCCATTGTAAACCATGTGTAAGGATTTGCACCTACATTAAAAGACTTAATCTGTTGGTCCAGAGCTGCCAAAACTTCAAAATCACCTTGTGCAGAACTTAAAGATTCTTGGAACTGGGAATGGGCTTCACGCAAGGCCTATACAAAATGCAATATATTCTCACTGGAATAGTATTTTATTAATCTGATAATTTTTTAAATCTCATAATTATATTTACACACTTTAAAAAAACATAAAAAATAAATGTACATTTCATAAAAAAGATTACTTATATATTAATAACTTTACTTGCAGAACTATATTTGTCATATAAATAAATAATATTTAAGAATTAATTTAACACTTTTTATGTCATTTACATAAAACAAAAATTAAACTGTCAAAATGCAATAAAGAAAAGAGAGAAATCTGAAAAAAGAAAAATACAGGTGAGCCACACAAAGTTGAAGTAATGTGGACCAAGAGGATGTCGAGGTACTGAAAATATCAAGTTTTGCAGAAGAGAGTATGGGTTATTTACAACTCATAATATTTCAACCAATATCTAAATTCATGGTAATTTTATTAATACTTTTCTCTTTCTAAAGTCTCTTTAAGAATGCATTTTCATTTATTAGAATGAATTACTTGCTATTTGCTTTGCTTTCTATTTCAAAAATAGTTTATTTACAAATATTCAAATTGCAATATTACCCAAAAAAAAAGTTTAATTTTATTTACTTGTTTATTTTAAATTTAAGAACTGAAAAGTTAGATCTTTTTTAAAAGAAAATATCTAAGTTTTTTAAAAAAACGCAAAGCAATGAAAAATAAAAAATGTTTAAAACATAACAGTTTTATGCAGTATAAATTTGCAGATAACAAGAGGACACACAACAACAATACAACTAATACATTAAATTTGTGCGAGTTCATAAAGACTACAAATACATGTCTATTCTGAGTATAAATATAATCCTTAACTGTAGCTACTGAAACAAATAATGATCTATTTTATACCTGTAACAGTGTGGTTTTGAAATAAACAAAAACTATCTCATTCTGCTTAATCAATACTTAATACTTGCTATTGATCTACAAACATAAATATGATTATTAATAATAATATACTGATAATAATATATATGTATCACATTCCTACAAATAATAATACTGTATTAGACTAAATATGAGACAATGCCTTTTTTAACTCTAATGCCCTTCTGAAGAGCATCTTACATGCAAAGCTCAACATTTAAATGTATTTTGGCAACTCATCCCTCATCTTCTGTTTTACAATAAAAGAATTACTTAGCATGCTTATTTAGTATGATTTCAAAGTAAAACATTAAAACACCTAATTATCTTTACAGAACATATTTAGCTTACATATCCCAAAGCATTTACATATGAATAATTTTTCTCCCCTCTTTAACCTTCCAGCACGCGCGCTTGGCAATTCTACATGAGCATGTGCACGTCGTATTTTTTACGACATCCGTTATTTTATTTTACCATTTTTGGCACAAAAAACGACAGAAATGAGTGAATATTGATAATAAATTTGTTAAGAAATAAATATTAATCTTATTATTGCAAAATACAAATGATATCACATCCAAATATAAGTAAATTATTTTTAAGTTCTTATGTTAGTGAGATGAAAATGCAATGATGTATTTCATTGTAGAAAATTTTAATTTATTACTTATAATTATATTTTAAAATCGAAGCTAATTTTAATATTCATCGAAGACAAATATAGACAATAAAAAAGGGAAATACCTTGGTAGGAAAAAAAGTAAGTTTAGCATTACTTACTTCTACAAGGAAATTTATTTCTTACTGGTTACAAAAAGGTACTAACTTTAATGTTTTTATTTATTTCTAAGAAATAGAAATAAAAGAAAATGAGGAATGAAAATCGCTATTGTTCTCCCATCCAAAGGTTTCTTTGTCTTCCTTTTCTTCATCAGATAATTCTTGAAGAATCCGAGCAAAATCAGCTGGTTGCACATATTTTTTTGCCATGAAAACCGATATAAAATTTACAGAACCAAATGTATTCAAATTAAAATAATACATGGCAATTATGAACACAAAATTACAAAAGATTTGAGGAAAAAAATTTTTTCCGAATTTTAAAACATGACCAACATGTTGTAACTTTTACGAAAAAGCTGCCACGTAGCACAAAAGCCCAGTTAAATAAAACGTCAAGTGACTTCCTGTTGGCACATTCCATGATGTGGGAAAAGGTAGAAAGGAGAAATAGAAATGACCTTCAGATGTCTCATCTTTGATATGCGAAAAATAAGCATTAACCCTCTGAGTGGCACAGGATTTTAGATCCGTTATGAAGACCAATATTTAAACAGCAATTATTAATTTAGTTTGTATAATTACTTATTTCAGTCTGCATTTTCATAAGCTTACATTCATTAAGATAATATTTACATTATTAAAGAAAGTAAGAAAGCAAAATAACTTAAATTATAAGCTAATATATACCAAGTAGCAAAACTTCTGATGATTGAATAAACTCAGTCATAACACTCAGAGGGTTAAAAATTGAATTTGTCGTTTTTTTTTTTTTTTTAAATTGAATTTGTCGTAAATTTTGCACATGCGCGTGCTGGAAGGTTAAACATCTTAGAAATAAATTCATTTCTCTTCTACAGGCCATAAGTAAGCCCTACACAAACACATGTGACTATGATTTACAAACAATATTACAAAAACATAAATTTACACTTTTAAAAGTATAGAATTTATGAAAATTGTTGACATACTCTGATTTCTTCAATAGAGTTGCATCTGACTGGATCAGTAAGATCTTCCTCAGCATTTTCGAACCAACTATTGAAAGCAGAGGCTTTTTTAGCAAAGGTAAGAAACAGGTCTTCAATCTGAAAGAATTTTCAACATCCATTACAAAATGCTTCTCTTTTCTACTCTCTTATATTTCTTGACATTAGGCATATTTTTATAGAGACTATGTTTCATAAAACCAGAAAACATACCTGCTTGAACTGCTCAAGCATGTGAAGCAACCTTTGTTTTCGTGCTTCTGATGCTGCAAGAAGATTATGCCATCTGCAAAACAATTTCTTTTTAATCAAATAGCATTGAAATACAAACAAAAAACAAACAAATACTTTGATATTATCATACCTAACACTGATATTAACATGAGTCCAATGAAACAATGATTTGGACTCTGTGTAAGAGAACTATGCCCTTTATAAAATTACCCAAAAATCACACTTTTGATTACATACAAAAATTTTCCTCTATTTCAAGGAAGACAAGCATGGAATTTCCCCTTCTTCTAACAATGAAAATAGTCTGCTTTCACAAAATCAAGATCCATGTAGCTTCACAAATGCTCTTGATGATTTCAATTACAAAAACAGTTTCCATAAAACCAACATTTGCCCAATTTTATGGGCGATTTGAAAGCAATACAATATAACTTTGACAGGAGAAAGCAGTAGCTAACAAACACATGCAAGAATAAGCAGAGATGTCTATTATTTTTCCAATATAATTTTCAACTGGGAAAATATGCTACCATCAAACATAAGACTCTCAATAGTACAAATGGCAGAACAAAAATCCACTTTTAAAGAAAAATGTTATGCCTCCAAAGAAAAATATTTAATGCTTTATTCAAAACAAAATTTTAAAAAGAAAATACAGATCTAACTGTTATCTTAAGATAAAACAAAGTATATACTCAAAACATATTTTAACCACTTGCACTACAACTAAACTTCACGGTTGCGGTGCCGCACGCTACAACATAACAAGCGGTAAGGACTCTCATTTACACCGCTTCACATCTGCGAATGCAATACAGAGCTGTAACTCGAGAAATAAACAATCTCGTTGTTAGGCGACATGTGCACCATGTTATTTTCATGGTGCACATGAAAATAAATGCCTATCGACGTGGTGTTCACGTTGCTCACGGTTTGAGACAAAAGCATTTCGATGTGCATGGCACGTCTTTTTAGCGCAAGTGGATAATTGCTCATCTACATAGCTACTACCATTTTAAGAAATGGTAAATTTACAGTGATAAACACTATTTCACAAACACAAATTATATAATCATTAATATTATACAAATTGTAATCATTAAAATGCAATTAATGTAGCACAATCTCTTCTTTAGCTACTGTAACAGTTCAAATTCATCACATAGTTTTTACAACTTTCTGAAATTGTTCCACATGAATATTTATAATGATAGGACACCAATTTTTGAATGCTATATACCTTTTCTAAATTGTTAACTCATTCAGAGATTGTTGACAGAATTAAGATACAGGAGCTGTGATGGACTTTACAGCATGTTATGCACTTTTGAAACCAGTCTAAACTCATTCAGCAGTGTGACATAAAGTAATGATGGTTCTGAACTTGAGTTCAGAGCCAGAAACAATAGCCAAAGTAGTTATATATAGATATATTTTAATATTTCAAAAGCATTGGCTAAACTAGCAACCCATGAAAAACATAACAAGTTCCTATGAAAACACTTCTCATATCACTGAACAAGAGATCCTACATGATCAGTTAGTTCATCATATTATTATTATGGCTATATCCTGATTTGTTCATTCACAAAATACTGATCAATTGAGATTTACTGCACCATGGGAGCATTTCACAGTTTCAGTGCTGCAAAAGTATTTGTACATCATTCTATCCTGCACAAGCCTGAATTCTGTTCATAAGCTAATTAAATAAAGCAACCTCTCATTAATCTGAAATTGAGTAATTTGAAATTTAAGTCAATAGGAATAAATAAAATTAAAAAACATCTCATTTCAGTAGAAATGTTGATAAATTTTGCTAAAATACATGGTTTACTTTCTTTTTTTCTTTTTTTTTTTTTTATTTTTTTTTTTTTTTGAGTAAGCCTCTTTAAAGCTGATTTTCCAGAATATTTTAAATAATCCAAACTTCTGATAATTCAAACAGGTTTTTCTAGTCCCTTTTTTCAATTAGAAAATCCACGTATCAATTGCTACTTAATACTACACTAAACACAACTTAAAGATGATTGCTAACCTAAAATACAATACCTTCTATAAGAAAACAATAAGGATTTTAGAAAAAAAATTTACCAGAACAATTCACGAGAACAAGCACAAAGCATAACCCATACTATTAGATGTAAAGCAAATTTTAAAGAGAAAACATGATTTAAGCAAAGATTATTCTTCAAATCACATTTTTTATATATCAGCATTTTTTTTTTTTTTTTTTTTTTTTTTTTTTTTTTTTTTTTTTTTTTAACGAAAACTCATTTCAATAGGTGCACAATTTCTAAATTTAAAAAGGAAATTTTTGGAACTCACCTTCCCATAACATCATCATGGCGTTTTACAATAGCTGAAGTTTGTTCATGATTAGCTGCCAGCAACTGGTCTTTCAACTGAGTTATACTTTGTATTCCCTCTTGTTCAAAAGCTGCCAATCCTGCATCAAATGTTTCCTACAAAAATGCAAAGTCTGTCTCAATGAACAGCGAAACTTTTTTAAATATGTTTCTAAAGTTTAATGTAACTCTAGAGATAAAAATCCGAGAATGCATAGATAATAAAATTAAATCAAATACACAACCTCAACTTTGCATGACCAAAGATTTATAATTTGGCATATATGATAATTCTTACATAACTATCTTTAATTTATCCTATACTTATCAAAAAAAGCTTACTTACTTGCTTCGTAAGAAGTGTTTGAACTGACGATAAATCTCGGCCATAATCTTCTGAACGTACATGAGTTTCTTTATCAGCTTTGAATAAAACAAAGATGGTAAGTAATAATATATACATTATGAAAGAACACTATCAAAATATTAAAATTAATTTACATTTCATACATTAATATTAGCATATATCTATGAAACTACCAGAATAAGCTGTTAATCATTAAATGACTAAAATAAATTTTGAGTGACTAAAATAAATCTGAGGTATGATAAAGATAATACGCATATTAATTATTTAAGTTTTCATTAGGATAGCTGCAGCTAACATATATGCACACACAGCAGATTAACAAATTACTGCTGAATGTCACATTGTGCACTGTGGTTGGATATATAACTTTTAATAATATATTTCACATAAGTTAACAGCTTTGAATCCCATTTTTGATAATAATTATTTTATAAAGTAGTTGTTTAGTGATAGCTTTCCAAAATTTGCACTTTTATAGTAAATCATGCTAAAATATGTAAAATGCAATTTGAATTACTCAGATCACAAGATTTTACTTGTTAATAAAATTACTTTATAATATAGTAGAAAACACATACACAACATTGGATAAATTTTTTTCTAATAAACATAAAAACATAATAAACACATTACTGACTATGCAGCCCACTGTTTCGCTCCTTTAAATTTTGATTCACTTCATTTTGATGTGACACATGTTAGGTTACTTTGAAATCTGAGATGGCACGGCACAAGAGGGCTATCAGTTTAAAGAGACGGATATCTTCATGGAGAACTTTCTAAGGAAAACTAGCTTGTACTCATGCTACATTATGTGACAAGCATGGAAAACACCAACACAGTCAGCCATTTCATGCCTGGGCTCCAACCCAGATCAAATTAACAGTATTCAGTTATCTTAATCACTTGGCCACATATGGGTAATGATGTGAAATTACGACGAACACTAAAAAAATCATTCAGGCTATGCATATTATAAACAAAGGTTTTTGAGCAGATTCTACAAAACTTTGTGCTATGCTGAATACACAGGATACCCACAGAAGTATTATAAGATGTGAACAAATACATTTTCACGTATACAAGCTAATGTTACTTTAAAGAAAAAATATAAAATGTACAACATCATATTTATATACATTTCTACATATAAGAGAAGAAATTTCAGAATGAAACAACTTTTATATGCTACATACAAAGCTCTTTATTGATTCATTTGGTGAATGGTAAGCTTTAATAAAACAAATGAATACAAACATGCACAGAAAGAAAAGGCATAAAATGCAGAGCATTTTAAAGTACTGAAAAGAAAAATTATACCTATCCAGCTTTCAACTACATCAGCCTTCCACATAAACTGCAGATATGCTGAATTATCCTTAAGCTTGCTTTTTCTTCTAGTTGCACTAGTATCTAGTGCATTAAGTCGATCGTGTAACTGCTGCAGTCTTTGACTTATGCTATCAGAATGATGATTTCCTTCAGCAATAAGTTGTTGACCATCTGATGATATTCCAACACATCTGTCCCTGTGGACTGCAAAGTCTATTTCAAATGCTTCGTGTTTCTTCAACAATCCCTAACACATATAACAGAAAAATACATTTAATTTAGATTAAAGATCTTTGTCACAGTAAACATTGGATCATTATACAGATTTCTTACAGTTTTCACATACAAATTTATGATTTATAATCTTACAAGGTTTATAATTATATTTATGGTTTATAATCTTACAAGGCACAGGGGAAAACTAAAAATATCCAGGCACTGACAATACAACCTGATTCATTGCTAGCCCAAGGGTTTTTTTTTTTAACGTTGATAATCCCCCCCCCCAGTTCCTGAGTTTTTGCTTACTAATGGTGCGAATAAATATTCCATCCCCCTTGTACATGGTTGACGATTTTTGCATGAGTGTGGTTGCCTCTCTATTCAGAACCTGAGCAAGAAGTCTTCACTAGTTTCTCAGAATAACCTCACTGGCTTTGTTTTCTTCTAATACAAACAGATTTTTGTGTGTGTGTTCTCAATTCTTTCAACACTGCTGGTGGTCTGTTTAGATCAATATTATTTGGGTGTTGAATTAGACATACATAATACACACTTTTCATAAAACTGTTCCAGTTAATAAGTTTTATTTTTATAAAGGCTGATTTGCTTCACTCCCCACTTAATTGAGATTGGTCCTTCTGTCGAACAGTAAATAAATCGCGGCACTGTTACAAACAGTATCCTGAAACCATTGAAACAGTTGTCAAAATGTGTGCCTTTCCTTCACACAGCACTTCTAAATGCTTTCATTGATTTGCAGTTTTATTTAATGCCCATTTTTTAATATTCGAATGCAAGGTAAAATGAGTCTTTCTTGAAAGAAAAATATAGCATCTTTCTCATTTCTTGGTAAATCAAACATTTTACACATTTTTTAAAAAAGACAATACATTTACACATGCAATACTCTGAGCTCTTCTACTTATGAAAAAAAGAAAATACAATAACCCATGGTAAACTCAGAACTCTTCTTGTCACTAACAAACTATAAATGATCGCAATTAGGATTCCCAGTCATTTCATGACATTCTGCATGGATGATTTGTTGATAATCTTGTTGCTGTGAACAAAACAGGGCATCTCAGCCATCATACAAAATACAACGTTTGAAAACAAAATATTATTTTCTTTCTTAATACCAATTAAAAATCATAAAAATTAAGGAATTAAAAAAAAGCAACACATCAACATTCACCAATTAACTTATAAAAGAACAAAAATGAAAGCAAAAACAAAATAAATAAACCATAAAAAAAGATTGGCACATGTAAAAGTCAATGTAAGGAAAACTAGACTTTATTCAAAATGGAGATGAATACCACAGAATAATCTGAAAACATGTCATGTTATGACTTAGTTGTCTATTGCACTTTTATGAGGAACAATATTATGCAGAAAAGTAAATGATACACGAATTCTAATGCTAAAAACTGATATTATTAATCTTAACTCCCATTTCTTGGCAACTCAGAAATTACATATGAAACAGTCTTTCGAGATCTTTTGTTTAAAGTAGCCATTATCAATTACAAAGCTGTAATTAAAAGCAGATTTTAGAAAAATATTAGCATTAAAATAAAGTTACAGCATTTGAGCTTAGAAATACACAAGTGTGACAAAATTAAGCATACCTGAACAGCAGCCATGGTATCACCATAATCTTCGACATTAAGCAGCTGGTGTTTTTCTGAAATCCATGCTTCCTCCTCCTCCAGTTTTGCCAAGAAATTTTGGTAAGATAAAGATTCATTCAGTTTGGTACCTCTATCTGATGTCATCTGAAACACAAATAAAACCTTAATTAATACACAAAATTATATGTATTTATAAAATTATATTACCATGTCTTGCACAGATTTATAAAACTAAAAACTTTAAACATATTTCGCCACTTTTGCAATCAGTAAAATATTTTTACTATTATATTCAAAACAAAATAAAAGAACATTAAACAAACAAAAAGAACATTCAAAACAAAAATATACAACTCTATTTTTTTTAATAGCCACAGAAAGTATTATGAAATATCACACCTTCATCTTTTTACCTTATCTCACCTCAACTGATACTTATTTCTCATTCATGATATTAACAAGAGATGAACCATTTTCCCATTGCACAAAATGATTACTCAAATTTAATTTTTTTCCCTTATTCAACAAAGAGATGTGCCTGAGTATAAATATAAAATACTATACTCACTTAGCATTACTAGCTTACTCTTAGTATTTTATGCTTAGATTTTCTCTGACTAAAATAAGAAACTTGAGCATATAATGAAGTTACATACAGTGCAATTTCATAAAGATAGTATCCAAAATAATGATATATCCTTCTCCAACTATTTTTTAAAAGGTCTAATCATTTAAGATTAATTAGATTAAAAATGCAAAAATATACGCATACATGCTTCAGCTGTTCAAAATAAACGTGAACGACTACCTCAAAAACTGAAATGAACTGCTTTGGAAAATTAATATAAACTGTTGAGAAATTTAATGATTCATTTAATGCATATTGTAATGATTCATTTAATGCATATAAAAGAGCCAAGAACTAAAACGAAGATAAAATTTATGATTCTCAAGCATATATACATGTTACGGTAAAACACAGAAATCTGGAGAATGTCGACTTTCACCGGTGAATGTCAACATTCACATAGTTGCTTGGTGTATGTCCGAAATATTTTCAAAATATTCTTATTTCTGACTTACACTGGTAAATGTCAACATTCACCATTTAGAATATTATATTTTCTTCTCAGTAATTCGGTCGCGAAAAAACGCACTTGAGACTTAAAATAAAAACTTAAGAACATAAGAACATAAAGCACACTGTACATTCAAAATGAGAAAGGAAAATAATAGAAGTTAAAAACTTACTAAATTACGTGATTCAAATCTTATTTATTGCAACAACTTAAACTATTATGACACTTTGAATTGCACAAGAGGCCCTTGCTTTTACAACTGCATTTATTTGTGGAACACTTCCTTTTGCAATGACAGCATGTACATATACTCCTCTCTTTTCAACCTACACCAGAGCACATCTGTGATTGTCAACATACACCGGTGAGGGTCCGAATGTACAAGAATGTAATGCAATATTCGATCCTTCATCGACGTATTTGGTAAATGTTGACATTCTCCGGTGAAAGTCGACATTCTCCAATTTCGGTCTTTCATGTTAACATATATATACATTGGTCACAAAAATAGCTTTCCAGTTAAAGATACTTGTTAATTTGTAAAGTACTTGATATCTTTTATGCTAATATTGAACTGAGGTACTCTGATGGTCATAAATGACAGTTTCATTTGGCATAGAAACTACTCTGCTTACACAAAATCAAACCAATTTCTTTCCTCACTTTTTTTTAAACACATTTTCACATATACACTGTTTTGCAAAAAAATTGAAGCGCCAAGAATGATTTCTGCGATCGTGATGAAATTTGGTATGCAAAAACATCTTCATCGAACATGCAAATGATCAAAGTTTCAAGGCAAATTAGCAGGAATTGCGATCATAGCGCGTATTTCTAGTGCACAATTTGCAAAGTATAAAACCAGTAACAGAGGCGGAAAAATTATCTTTTTTTGTTGCTGCCATTGCAATTCTGTAAAGAAGCAACTAAAGATGCCATTACGGCGATATTGGAGACCTTACAGATAATTAAACGACTTCGAATGTGGTCGCAGTGTAGGGTTGCATGAGCTGGGTGGTCATACCGAGCAATAGGCCGCCACCTCCAGCATACAGAAACTGCTGTGCAAAGATGTTGGCAGCAATGGTTGCTACAAGGAAATTGTCGATGAAATGAAGGCTCTGGAAGGCCAAGGATCACAAATGCGAGACAAGATAGGATGACTGTTCGCCAGGCCCGAACCTCCCCAACAGTATCATTGTCGACTATTCAATGCACTACAGCCACATCTATACCTCCCATGGTACCACCCACCATCTCACGGTGCTTGTCGGATGTGGGGTTACGCTCCAAAGGCCTTTAAGACATTTGTCATGGCTGCCTGAGCTATAAACATATTCAGTTTCAGCAAAAAACAACCACTTCCTTCATGGCGCTTCAATTTTTTTGCAAAAGAGTGTATTTCTCCCTTTAAGAAGTGGTCATATATAGAGGTAGCTGCCGTGAGAGAATTTCAATGCATGTGAATGCAGTATTACCGAAGTCCAATAACAAATTTACCTAATATTTGTTACAATAATATATGGTAAGCACAGAATTCTGTACTATTAGTCACATTTGTACTTCATTAAAACTGCTTATTTTAAACTTGATTAATCATCGTAATGGCTAAAACTAATAGATCTGATGTTAAATAAATGCTTTATGGATCTACAATTATGTCATTGACAATCTAGTATGGCTCATTATGGTTTCTTTATCATATAAAAATACAAAAATATTTATTTTGAGAACAGTGGGATGCAAAATTTAAATAGGTAACTTAAAAAGGATCATGAATAAGCAATACCTTTTTGAGTTCTTGCCAGGCCTTATCTAAATTCTTCAATCTCAATTCAATTTCAGGCACACCGAGATTTGAGACAGTCATTAGTTTTTGTCCTGCTTCTTGGACAGCTTCAATAGTAGGCTCATGGGCAGCTAACTCAGCTTCCAAGCGAACATGTTTCTTCCTCAGATTTTGAACACCAGTAAGGTCACGACCGTAATCATCAGAGCTGACCAAAAGCTTCTTTTCCCTTCAGAATACAAAAGTAGTATAATGAAACAAGCATATAGATTCATACCAAAATTAATGAATTCTAACATCAAACTTTTGTTTGCAATGAAATATTTTAAATAAAGTTAATAGTTTTTAGAAATATCTTAGGAAAGGGGATCTCTTGCACTAAAGTCTGAGATATCCCCCCCTTCCTAATTTGCTGAGCAGTGATTAAAAAAATTGCCCAACTGTTTCTGATGGATTACTTTCGTGAAGGG